CCGTCACCAATTCTCGTCGTAACAATCATAAACAGAAAGCTAAAAGTATGTCAATTTGAAGAGTATGAAAATTATGAAACCACTTTCAATTATGATTATTTCATATATTCTTGTTAAATGATCGTTCGAAAGAACTTATTAAGTCTCACAGTCTTCATAACAGAGATACAGGGTGAACTATCGGTTTCGAATAATTATTCACTCGTCCATAAGTATCAAAATACTCACCGCAGTAATATTTTCTCAAATTTGGTATCGAGCTTACTTGGGACGATGGATTCATATTGACCTATCAGGCAGAATGGAAATACAGGTTCAGCTTCAGGAAAAGTCTCATAGTCTTAATAACAGAGATACAGGGTGAATTATCGAATTATAATTATTTGGTATTATTTCCATTCCGCCTGATAGGTTAATGAACTACTTATGGACGAGTGAACGATAATTCGATTCACCCTGTATCTCAGTTATAAAGACTGTGAGACTTAGTAAGTTCTTTAGACCGATTTTTTGACTGGAATATATCGATTGATCATAATTGACACTGATTCCATAATTTCAATAGTCTTCAAATTGACATACTTTCAACTTTATGTTTATGATTGTTACTATGAGAATTGGTGGCGGGACAACAAAAAGCATAAAATCCAATTGAGTTTTTCCTCCTCTTCACAATTTTTTTGATGTACTGTGTTGATTATCAAATACAGTGTGTTATTTTAATATTTCGAATACATGTACATTTTTCCTGAAGCCGAACCTGGATTTTCACTCCGCCCGATAGATGAATGAATTTGACGTCCCAAGTATAAGCTCCCCACCAAATTTGAGAAAAATGTACAGGGTAGGTCAATACATATAGACGAATGAATAATTATTCGAAATCGATAAATCGCTCTGTATCTCCGTTATGAAGATTCTAAGACCTATCAAATATGGTATTTTCAGAACCACCTTGGTAACCCCTATCTACCATTGAAATATTTCCCTTTACCTGTGAAACACCCGTATACATGCCTCTGAAACAACCATGAAATATCCCAAAATAATATTCAAGAGATATTCCAGCAAGAATATTCAAAGGTTAATATTCTCAGAATATCCCGCAGTTGGATTGTTCAGGGAATATTCAAGAATATATATTCCAGGAATATCCCCATGTGTTTCAATGAACATTTTCCGGGAAAAATATGTATAGTCAGTGAATTGGACGTCCTGATTTCTAATCCGAAGTGATTTAACCTAACCTAATAACATTTTCCGGAAATTTTGGTGGTTCCTGTAAGTATCAGAATCCTAACTCAACAATTACGAAACATACAGGGGTGCTTCCATTAGAAGTGATACACACTGTATAATGTTCACCTTGAGTCAATTCTGATCTTCATATCTCTTCATCTGAAGTTTCAGCTTCAAAATGAGATTCTAAAAACGGGTTGACAAGGAAAAAAGTTATGACTGCAAAACCAGAAAGTTAATTTTTTGAGATCACTCTGTAAATAAAAGAGATAAGGAGCCATGCCTCTACTGTCAAAGTTGAAAATTTTTCACAGTTTCAGGTGACACCCTGTAGCGATTTTATATAAAGAACCTCATGTTTTAAAGAAGAACGAGATTATAGCTGAAAGACTGGACTAGCGAACAGTGCAATCTGAATTACAATTGTTCAAAGCAGAAAAAAGTTATTCATATTTAAACAGGAAGAAAATTTTGGGGTGCGACGAAATTAGTGTTGAGTAGTTTATTTTTGCATACCGGCTTGTTAACTATCTGTAGATATAGTTCTGGTATACCGTACGTTAGGTACCACTTAAAATATTCACGTTGCGGTGGTCTTTGGAAGTGGACATTCAGGGAGATTCAAAAAATGGTTTATGTACATGAAAGATGATAGGACAGCACAGTAACCATATGTTGTGTATATCAGATACATCTGCTCGTAGTTGATCTTACCGTTACGGCGATGAAAAAAATATCGAAATTGCTTGGTCAAGAGTGAAATGTGGAAATAACTGATTTCGATTGTCAGTGTTGTAAATTTAACCGTGATATTGAACCATTGTTGCAGAATAATTAGGACCTACAGTGGCGTAACTGAAAATTTCAGATCTCTCGCCAGAATTTCTGGTGACCCCAAAGAAGATGAGTCTATAAAGTTAGAAACTGATGTGACTAGCATTTATATTAATCGTCCGCTTTTGAGAAAACTGATTTGAAAATAAACTGTACAGTGTGTCCAGTTTTCGATGCTTTTTCGTGATATCTTGGTTATCTTTGAAGATAGAACCTTGCGGTTTTCGCGGTTCTGTGCCAATATTTTGTCAAACTCAAGATGACCTTGTCAGATCTTGCATAACTGTTGCCGTTTATGAGATACAGAGCGATTTTGAGAATTTATACTTTTTGAACCCCCTCTATATCCAAGAAGTTTCTCAGCGAAAAGGTCAAATCAAAGTCTTATCCCATAGAGAATTCTACGCAGAATCCAGTGGAGCACTCAAACATTTTTTTCGGGGTATGGTTTTGCAGATACAACTCAAACTAATGATTTTGTATTTTGTGAGCTCATTGAATTCCTTATTTTTTCCTTTCAGGATATGAAATGTATACATTGAAAATTTTCGAAAATGCTCAAGAGTCACAAAAACATCGAATTTTAATAGTGAGATATGGATTTTTCATATAAAAATGAAATAATTTGATCTTGATGAGCTTGGAACTTCCAAAAAATCATTCGTATAAGTGATATGGGAATTATATCTCTCACATGACTTTATTTGTGCCCAACATAAACTTGTCAGGAGTGACCATACCTTCGAAGACATCCATTTCGATCGAGATTTCGATGCTTGGTATTACTATCAGCAATAACGTTTCTTGGGAAAATCACGTGAGATCAATTGCTAAAAGTGCATCCCAAAAACTTTTTTCTCTTTCGGGCCAGGAGCTATTTCACTTCCAGTCCCCATATTTGGAATGTCTGTCCAAAAAAGGGCAATTCGTCTCGTGGGTGATGCCTCGCTCACAAACTCACTCACTTCTCTGGAACACCGTAGAGAAGTTGGCGATCTGGCTCTATTTTATAGATATTTTCATGGGCGTACTCCTCTGAAATTTCTACAATTGTTTCTCCCTTGGCAGTCCCCGCGAGATTAACCCGTCGAGTCGAGGCTTCGCACCTCTTCGTGGTCACTTTGGAAACCTTCAGAACATCTCTTTCCAAAGACTCGTTCATCCAACGAACAGCAAGGCTCTGGAACACATTTCCAAGGGAGGTGTTCCCCGAGGTATATAATCTCCAGAAATTTAAGAAGAACACCAATTCCTACTTTATTTCCCTTGGTTCTCACGATGTTCTCTGAACATTACAGGATATCCCTTTTCGTGGGAACCAGAACAGTGTACCTGTGGTGAGGACACACCAAACATTTTCGATCAATTTAAAGCCTGTATTCCGTATCGTTACCATAGCAACTAAACAAATTTCTTGGAAATTCGGGGACGGAGCATGAAATTACACTGGAAATTTTTTGACGTTTATAGGTTAAATGACATTTACATTCAACTTCAGATTATTTCGAGTTCATTCTATAAGTCAATAAACAAAAATCATTTATCAATAGTTCACCATATAATATTATGTAGGTATACTTGCAAATTCTAAATTTACAAAAATCCATGTTGTTTTTATGTATACGTTAGTTCTCACATTTCATCACAAACAAAACCATCATTTTCAACTAAATCATCTAAGTGTCTTTGAGATTCCTTTAAGTTGATCGAAAATGTTTGGTGTGAAATTTTCTTACCGAATACCACTGCAGCTTCAATTAATATCCGGGTATTTTTTCTTCAACACGTATATTTAGAAAATTCATTCAACTTCCGGATATAATTGAGGCACTGGGACGAAATAGCGCAGGACAAAATAGCGCAGGACGAAATAGCGCGGACAAAATAGCGCAGGGACATAATAGCGCAGGGTCATAATAGCGCAGGGACATAATAGCGCAGAGACAAAATAGCGCAGAGACAAAATAGCGCAGGGTCATAATAGCGCAGGGACAAATTTGAGCGCGAAAACGTAGTGCATCATCTATGATTACGTTAATTCGTTTGTCAGGGCATAGACTATTTCTTCAAATACTAGATGTTTCAAAAGGAGACTACCCTTACAAACGAAGTAACTTAATACTAGGTATGCCGTTGGATTGTTAAAGTAGACCTATGATTAGGTTAGTTTGTTTGCTAGGGTATAGACTCATTTTGAAACACCTTGTATTTGAAGAATGAGTCTTTACTCTAACAAACGAACAAACCTAATCATAGATCCTGCACTCCATTTTCGCGCGCAATTTTGTTCCTGCGCTATTTCGTCTCTGCGCTATTATGACCCTGCGCTATTTCGTCTCTGCGCTATTTCGTCCCTGCGCTATTTTGTCCTGCGCTCTTTTGTCCGCGCTATTTTGTCCTGCGCTATTTCGTCCCAGTGCCATAATTGAAGCTCTCGTTATATTATAAGTGATACTTTGCCTGAAAATGTCACTGGTTTAAATTTCCCCAGTATAGAAACCTATGAGAAAAATGTATTCGATAGTCAGTACCCAGTAACACCTTGTCAAAATCTGCTTTGCCATCCATGGTTACATCGTTGAAAACACTATCGCTGATAGACCGCAATCAGAATTCGCGATAGAAAATAACACGTTTAACCTAACCTGACGGTAACAACTTGAACACTTCTGAGCGGTTTGTTTTGATGATATGACCAATAAGCATTGACAAAAAACAACTGAGAACCTGAACATCAAAAAAACAGGCCGCTTTGACATCTTTCATCAACTCCGATAGGTGGCGTAAGCTTATTTTCTATCGCGAATTAAAAGACAGCTAACGTTTTCGCGATATTTCATCTTCTGCTTGATTGGTCAGATTAGATTAGCTAGTATATAAGTGACTTATACGTACGTAATAATAATATATTCATATTTTCATTGAAGGTGTTGATGTGACTGCCAATCAAGAAGAAATATCTGATCACGAGACATTCCAACTGGAATTCGACTGGAGCACGAAAAGATGGTACATCCGAACCATGCAAGACAGATACTGGACTTTGGAAACAGGAGGTGGCATTCAAGCATCCGGTGACAAAAGGTAGGTAACAAGTTATTGAGAACACATCAAAATACTATTAAATTGATCACGAAAATCATCCATATCTTGAACTACAGTATGAAGCTCTACACGGCGATATTCTCACTGTCATACATAATGTTCATTTTATTGATTCCCACTTCCTCACAATATTCCTCAGATGGCAGCAATCTTGTTCAATTTCAATAACATCCTATCATGATGAGAGTTTGATATGAGATTGGAGTAAAAACAATCTGAGCTGTTTAAAAATCACATCAGAATAGGCTGTCCCCATTTGAGGACACGGTGAGCGAAACACTGACATAACTATACTATCTAGACCACTCTATGTCATATCTCAGTATCCCGAAAATTGAGATTATCAACAAGGCGAAATCATCACTGATGGTGTGCAGACACATTGCAGGAAATACATGGGGTTGCAACCCATCAATACTGCGATGGATGTACACCATGATAGTGTGACCTATGATCAATTAAGGAGCAGTAGTTTGGCACGGCAGAAACGAATTCGCCACAACAAGGAGAATGTTTGAGTTGGTGCAGAGACTAGCATGTCTTTGCATAACAGGAGCAATGAGATCTACTCCAACAGCAGCACTAGAGGTCTCACGTGAACGTGAAGGATTCACTGCTCACTGGAAGTGCACACCTCGTCGATCTCCCAACTGATGAAATTATCAGGAAGTTCAATTTTGTGAGAAATTTCCGAACAGAACTGAGCACCAAGAAAGAATGTAGCACAGAATCTATTCAACCACTGGGAATGAATACCATAATATGGTATACGGACGGGTCTAAATCACCCGAGGGAACTGGAGCAGGAGTGTTTGGGCCTCGCACTAAATATTCCGAAGCGATGGGAGAGTTTAGCAGCGTTCAAGCGGAAATTCATGCCATAGAAATGTGCATTCAGTTCAACCTCGACAGGAAATACCGGAACAAGGAAATCGCTATCCTTTCCGACAGCCAAGCAGCCATCAAAGCGTTGAGCTCCTTTAACATCAACTCAAAGATGGTTTGGGAATGCCTAGACAAACTCAACAATCTAGGCAGGAACAATAAGGTAATCCTCTTCTGGGTGCCGGGGCACATCGGAGTGGAGGGAAATGAACAAGCAGACATCCTGGCACGAAAAAGAGCATCAACGCCACTGATCGGACCAGAACCATTCTGCGACCTTGGAAATTCTTATTTCCAAGAAGAACTTATTAAAGCTGAAGAAGCAATGAGAGTAACACTGGCGAAGTCTTCCAGGACTGCGGCATTCCAAAGATCCCCTCGGCAACTTCAACCGAGCAAGATCGAAGACACTGCAAAATTAGTCTCAAAATAATAACGGGATTCCCAACGGGGCATTGTAGACTAAAATAACATCGGTAGCTAGGCTTAGAGGAGGATAGCACCTGCAGATTCTGCGGGGAACATCCAGAAACACTCCACCACATATTGCTGGAGTGATATGTTGTACCCCACAAAAGATCGAATATACTGGGAGCATACGAGCTGACCGTGGATGAAATACCACGAACAGATCCCCTCAAAATTCTCAAGTTCCTAAAAGAATTGAAGCTTGAGGGGATGCTATAAACAAGAAAACCTTGAGATAGCAAGAGAAGATGGGGCACAATAGATCTAATCAGGTTGCAGCGCATCTATCACCATCCACACATCACTCGCCTGAAAACGTTTCTGCTCAATGCGCTGGAACCCCCAAACTGTCGTTCATGTTAGCGATTCATGTTTCCTAGTGTTCAAGAACAAGAGTAAAAGTGAGAAAGATATATGACATATCCTAAATGCTCATGATTTATTTTCTCCAGTTCAATCCCCTGAGTAGACTTATGTTCCTTCTCATGGCATTAGCGATCTGGTTAGTAGTTTATGTCAGTGGAGCGAAAGTGTTGAAGATTGAAGAAGCTTCCTCGTTCAACTATCCTCTTCTTTCCGCTCAGGTCGTCCAACGCCCTCTTCGACCTGGTGTGGCAGCAAGATGGCGCCGTCGCTTTCCGCGCCAACAACGGCCGCTACGTCATCACGAAGCGGTCCGGCCACCTCTACGCCACCGCAGACGCCGTCGATGATACGTGCAAGTACTTCTTCTACCTGGTCAACCGGCCGGTGCTGGTTTTGAAGTGCGAACAGGGCTTCGTCGGTTTCAAGGCAGGCTCAAGCGATAGGTTGGAGTGCAACAAAGCCAATTACGAGACGATACTGGTCGAGAGGGGCGACAAGGGCATCGTTTATTTCAAGAGTGAGTATAATATGTTCTCAGACAAAATTAGAATAGATAGACACTAGATAGATAGTACTTCTTCTACCTGGTCAAACGGCCCGTCATGGTTTTGAAGTGCGAGCAAGGCTTCGATGGTTTCAAGGCAGCCTCTGGCGATAGGTTGGAGTGCAACTAGGCCAACTACGAGACGATACTGGTCGAACTATTAGAATCCGTCTTTTGCGACTCGTAAGTCTCAGATTATTTAGATGATGAAATAAAAATATCAAATATATAAATCTAACATCAGTTGGGCACTTCGAAGGCGCAAATGCATTAATGCATGGGAGATACCCTTCAGATTTTTAGCTATTCAGTGATTTGACATTCCGGAAATGGCAGCAATTTGGATGTCTATTGTCGTCACTCATTTATAAAGTCACCCTAGTTGTGTCAAAGCATCACAACTAAAGAATCAGATTATATGAGGAATATATATCTGAATATATTCGCATCTTGACTAGAATGAAACAAGGATTTGAAGGTGACGTTAGGAAGTTAGATTGATAATGTAGTTCGTCTTCTTCTGCTCTTCTTGTATTTCTGGGAACTCTATAGGCATTAAGCTGTTGCTAGTGCCACAAAATAATTTGGGTTTGAATGAATTCTCGATCATTATTAGGAATACTAGGATATTTTTATTGGTACTGCAGTATCTTGCATGTATATAAGTGTTCATTGAGCGATTATTAGGGACCAGGTCGAACTCGGCTGAAGCCTCGGGATATATCAAATCAAATCAAAATATACTTTATTATCGGAAGATTTTCATCTCATTGATAAAGTAATATTGGTCCCTGGGTAATAATGATATTCTTTACTACCTTGGTGTATAAATAACTATTAAATGGTAGGGCATATGCCTCTTCTTTTAATCCTCCGTTTCAATCAAAACTGTTTCTACTAAAATGCATTCAAACACTTGTGGAGTGGATAATTATAGGCACAATGAGAAAGTATAATATGTGATTTCGTATTAGTTCCACCTCGAATATTTTGGTAATGTTTTTACCAATTTTCCCGATTCGGTCACTTCACTTTCCATGTTCTAAGTTCATTTGCATTTGATGGAAAGCTGACAAATTCAAATTTGCCATCCAACTCATTGATGCAGCTTAACGCAGCACATTTTACCATCCTTTCAAAACAGAATTGAATAATGTCGTATTATAATCAAGTATGAAATTATAATTTTGTAAGATCTCTTTGAACGCCTATGAATGTGATGTGACAGCAATTTCATATCAGGGACGCCAATACACGAAACCAAAGTCACTAGATGATTAAAAGAGAAAGGAGCTATGATCTGTCCGTACCCTGTTAGATGACAAATACGTCAGTTTGCATCAAGGGACCCTAGGGTAGGGTACCTAAGTTAGTTTTCCATTGCGCATGATACAATTCGGCACGCAACTAAAAAGCTTGCAGCTTGAAAGCTTGCACTTATAGGTCGGCGCGCATATCAGCACGAAATTGAATTGAGGATACTCGCATTTAAAAGTCATTGTCCAAGCAAGCGTGCCGAAGTGTCACTTCGCCTCTGAATAGACCTTTTCATTTAGATGAAAAATGGCTGTCTGTGTTTACATCTCGCATCCAACGACAGTAACGTTTTTTCGATTCAAATTGATATAAGAAATACAATTAATACACACCAGGAATATAGAAACGAAAATACCAGATTGTTATTGTTGTTTCTCAATGACGAAAGCCCATGGTGGTTGACACTGTTGACATTTAACAGAACGTCAATAAAAACCGCCATATTCGAAATGGCCAATCAGAATTGTGTGTCGGAACTATTGCCAATGAGACTTCACCTTCACATTACCCAATCAAATTTTGGATCTAAAAACAAGCGCATGCGTCATAAAAATATATCTATATGAAAAGGCCTATTGATTGGGGATGGACCTTAAAGCTGTTCCACACCGTCTTATGACAACTGAATTCCGCCAGATGGCGATTGTATAGACAATATGAATAATCACATTTTGAAGTGTTAAGCTCCTCCCACCTTCCTACAATTGGCAACAGAGGTACAACTGATCCTCCGAAGAGGTGATGTCAGGTATAGAAACTGATTTGCATAATCAGAGCGATAATTTCTAAAATTATTATTTATTCCAGTCTGCAAAACCAGATACTTTGGCTAAGCCTGAGAACTTTTATATTATCGATTCAGGTATACAGGGTTTTTTTCAGAAAATATAGTCTCATTCATTGGCATTTCATATTATTTTTATTCAATTAATAAAAATGTTATAATAAGGGTATTAGTAAGTAATTATTATGTATGTACATTCTGATATTTTCATTCCGTTTCTCGTTGAGTAATTTTCATTCCTCTTGGTACCCTGACATCAATGATATCTGGAAGAATACATTCTCTGTAGAATTTTGACAATTTTGGAGTCATTTCATTCCATATATCACATATAAGTATCATTTAGTTATTCTGCTTCATAAATCCAGAAACCAGCAGACATCTGAAAACTTCTACTAGTAATAGCACATCAGTTATGTATGGTTGGAACATGGATATTAGTCCTTCCTGAAACAAAAAAAAACTGAATAATAATTATGTCACATATCATTATTTTGTCAAAAGTACCTTCTTTCGTTGTGGTGTTTCATCAATTTAGATCTGGTAGATCTCTTATGGTGACATTTTCTCACCATTCGCCGTGATTAAGCAATTACGGAACAAATAAAACAATACGCACAGCACAAGTTATCAACAAACACTAAATCACTTGTTTCCATGGGGTAGTAATCAGAGTAGGTAATAAGTAATGTGGCTGGTCATGGGTCATTCTGATTGGATCGTGGGTGTGTAAATCAATAAAAAGTCAAAAATCGTTTTGAAATGCATTATGCAAAAAACACATGATTTTGACTCATCGACACGCCGATAGAAATATGTTAGCATTGTCTTATATTGATGAATGTGAACAAAAATAAAACAAATTCGTCATTTTCAAAAGAAATTTAACGAGAAACTGAGAGAAAAATTCGGAATATTCTTTCCACGATCTATAGTATTCATCAACATCAACAAATTGTCAAAAATTCAAATAAATCTATCGATTCATTTCCATTCTGTAGTTGAATTTGAAATGCATTATTTGGTATAGGCGTTATAAAGGTAGAGAACGACCTTAATAGCAGGTAACTTGGTTTTCAGGTCAGAACGGCAAATACTGGCACGCGGACAGCGAGAGCGTGACAGCCGAGTCCGACAATCCCGAGGGTTTCCATTTGGAGCTGCGCGAACCCACTAGATTGAGCATAAAAACCGCTAGCGGCAACTACTTGACGGCCAGCAAAAATGGCGCGTTCCGCGCAGGCGAGAGCAACGTCGACAGCGCCACCCAGTGGGAGTACTAGGTAGTATCTTCAAGGTCGATCGAGATGTGTACAAACTCTGATAGATGCACCAGAGAAACGGGAAAGTATTGAAAGCTTAACTCGTTGAAGTGCAAGGTAAATCATCTCAAAGTACATATTTTGAAATCATTCCTGCGCTGATGCAATCGTATCTCTTGCGTTATACCCATATAATCTTTATGCTCATTGCACGACGCATCTCCATTTTTATTGCAATTTTGATTATTTATTCATAAATTGTAAAAGTAAATCATCTTGAGGTTCATTTGAAGAAGTTTCTGCGCAGATTCAATCGCCTCTTTTGCGTTTATTACTGCCCGATATTTTGCATATTACATTACATTACATTGTTCGGTGGAACTTCAAGAAGTTCCACCAAGTGGGAATTATAAAATTAAATCAGATATGGGTAAAAGATCTATTTTATACAATGGAACAATTCTCTATAATGAATTACCTGCCAGACTAAAGAAAAAATTAAGTGTTGAAAAATTCAAAAAAGAACTGAAAAAATACTTATGTCTTTGATTCTCTTCATGTCATCCTGAATCAATTCAAGAAATTATATTCAACAGTCTCTAGAAGAAACAACATTATATGTATTATGTATATGATTTAAAAATGATTATCTGATTATCTTATTTTTGTTTTTTTAGTTGCTGTTTCAAAATTTTCCCTGCTATAAACATATATGATTCTTGGGAATAATAAAGATAATAAATGTTCCGATATTGCTGACATTACTGGCCACAGTAAGCACTTAAGGAACACTAAACAGTAGCAGTAGCTTTGAATTTCATTTCATTTCGGAATGATTTTGGCAGTACACTGACAGCAAAACATATCCATAACCTAAAATCTTTCGATTTTCGGTGGTTTTGTTGGTTTTTATTTTCATCATTCTTACTATTATCTTCTTTCATCACGTTGAAATTATTGATGGGGTGAATAATAATATTATCTCAGAAGACATTCTATCCTATAGTGATTCTGATTCATCAGAAACACCAAGGTCTTGTACCTCTATATAGTTTCAGTGATGAAGAAATGAAGCATAGCTGTGAAATATTTGATATCAAAAGTAGGAATGAACATCTCATAACAAACCACCTTGTGGATTAGTGACAGTTTCAGCGTCTACTGCCTCTGTGAGATCTTCCAGTTTGAATTCATACATTTTCCCAAAGTATTTGAAAATAATAATATATAATTTTTATCGACTCATACCTAACCATTCAAACGCTTAACCTAACATTTCATGAATACTGGCACTACATCACCATTTCTTCAGCAGTGGCGAACAGTAAACTTTTCGCTTCTTAACAGGGTTCCTTGTGCAAAACGAAAATATACTGGGCAGTACTGTTCGGCAATATCATAACATGCTCTAGGTACTGAGTTTCAAACGGAAAGTGTAAGAGCTTTGGTGAATAAATTAAAACGAAGCGAGACAATCTCTGAACTTTTCTAAACAAGAAATTATAGAAGCATACAGTCGCAAACTTTGTGCATTGAAAAGCATCGTAGCACTTCCGCAGTTCACTGGAAAAGCATCTCAGTTGTTGAAGAATTAATATTCTCCAAGGTCATCTCAATGTTTGCGCAGATACTACCCAATCTAATGCGCATATTGCCCATCCCAAGACGCATATCCATGGTGATTAATGAATAAAATCAATAGTTTTAATTCTCGTGAAATGATGAAATCAAGTATCCTGATAAATTAAACTAGTAATCTCCAAGATATTGATAGATTGGATGACAAAATATAAATTATGAGTAGCAAAACGATGTTAGGGATTGGTAAATATTATCCTTTTTGTCTTGGACGCCATCAGCTGATAGTAGTGATGTGCAGGTGCGGATGTTCTTTTGAAAGAAAGCGTTTATCTTGGATTATTTTGGGAACAAAAAAGATAATGTAATTGATTCCAAAGAATCCAAAATGGCGTGTTTTTCCTTCCTGCAAGATGGTTTATTTAAATAATAAGCATTTTTACTTCACCTTCAAATTTGAACTGTGAAATCGTTGGTGGAAACTTCTTAAATCAGAGTTTAAGAAATTATCAGAGTTTGTATACATCTAGTTGTCAATAAACCATGCAATATTTATTTTTTATCATAAGTTACTTAAATATACTTGATTGGGCGTAATATAGCCCTGTAACCGTGTCAAGAACTTTCAAAATGATGGAGCTGTATGATATTTTGTAAACCTTCAATGTCCATTTTGATAGATTAGGTCCCATGGCAAAAGATATTGTTGAATGTTTTTTTTTAGAATGTATGTGCACGTTATTTTTCAGATAATATTTATTGTACTTTTTATTTAATACACAGTGTGTTCCATCAGTTTGAAATAGAAGAATATCTTTGAATTGTGACATTTTTCTATTTGAAGTTCAGCACACTGGTGGTGATAGTTTTTCCTATGCATTTTATTATTTAGGTATTCCACAGGGGCAGATTTGTAATGATGATTCAATTCTCCATATACCGGGAACCGAGTGTTAACGTTCACTTGAAATTTCGTTTTTATTTGTTATCTCCCTCAAAACGTTTAAATTTCGATGCTCTTATTGCACATTAGTATTAGTACCAATATGCAGTATTTAGTCAAAATCGCTGTACTTGATGTTTTACCCTATTTTATTTATCTAACTTTCTCTAAGTGGAAATATCCAGATGAAAAAAAGCACAAAGATAACAAGACTGTCTGCCCCTGGATATTAAATGTGATTTATTGAAATTCGTACTGTGAGTAGCGTACCAGAAGTAATTCACTAGCCAAAAAGGTTTTATTAACTGCCGACATCAATGGCCTTTTTTCTACCGTACCAAATATAAAATATTGTGTGTAAGTCTGAGTATTTCAAACAATTGCTGATTGTATGAAATATTTTTTTAGCGAGTAATTTTTGTATTGTTAATCTGTAATTTAATATGTGGTCATTACCAGATGAAATGCATTTATCTTTACCGTAATTTAAAGCTCAAAGTATATAGGTACCGATTATTTTTTACATATCCTTAGGTATTAAGAGCTTGTGCTATTCGTATGGAAACTCATCATATTTTTATAGCTTTTTGAGCGAAGTGTGTGGAGTTCCGCACTTAGAATTTGTTTGTATGATGATTGTAATCAACATGAATAAACATATTATACTCATATTTCATACGTTTTTTTTCTCATTAACGATCTCATATTCCCCATTGATGAGATCCGTTATTTTCATTTCAGAACTAGTGATTTGGAGTCGAAATGACATGGAGGAATGGAATATAGTGTAACCATATAAATTTCGTCCCCCCTACTAATTTTTAAATCACCTAGTACATCACAAAGACATTTGAAGGGCTCAAATGAGAGATGAGAACCCACTTTTTAATGAGGAAATAACAGCTTAGAGTTTCAAAATGGTGGCTGAGAGCCATCTTGAATACTTTTTTTTAATGGAACACCCCTATATTATTCCATTTTCGAAACCTCAGGATATTCCACCACACACTGTTTTACTACTAACCAAACCAATTTTGTACACCTCGACACGTGTTTCGCTAACTATGTTAGCATCTTCAGGAGTAGATTGAAACTAAATACTCTATTCAAGTGGGCTACTCAAGTACTAAGTATATGTCCACCCAACCGTGAATAGACAATAACCACCAAGTTGGTTGAGTTATACAGGGTGTGGCATTAGTGCGTCGGAGCTCGATTGCTCGAAATCTATGATAGCTAGAAACCTGATTCAAAAACGAATGTGAATGAGACAACAAGGTCCATAACTAGAAATTATTGCCGCATATACAGGGCGCACCAAAGATGATCTAGAGGGTCAGGATCATTTTTTTTAAATGGAATTCCCTGTATATCTGCAAATGCCTACCGAAAATATCACTGTTGTCACAGTTATAAAATTTAAGAAAAAATAATCTCAATATAATTTCTGAAAGTGTTTCAGGCCCTCAAATGATACAGGGTGGCTGAAAATATTTTTCAATTCGGAACTTTTTGAAGTGGAAATGGAACACCCTATATATTTTTTGACCATTTGATGTAAAATCGAAACACTAACACATTTATCTGAACATCCATATCGATATTCATAACCATTTTTGAATTATTGAACTTTGAAAATTATAGGTTGGCGATTTTGATCGATTCAGATTCTTATCTGTCATTAAAACATCAAAAGTCCAATTATTAATTTAATGAACCAATTTTTTCAAAGAAAGAATCGATACCAGAATCGAAGCAAACAGAAAAAGTTCATATGCTAGTTATTCACAAAGTAAAAAGAGACAAAATTTGCATTTCTCAAGTTTCCCATAAATTCATGGCACATTGAAAGCAAAACCAGAATAATTGAGAAATGAATTTTTTTCCGTCTCTACTTTGTGAATATTTAGCATAATTATGACCTATTCATGTCTGCTTTGGTTCTGACATCGATTCTTTCAATAAAAAATTGGTTTACTAAATTGTTGATTGAACTTTTGAATGTTTCAATAACAGATTAGAATGTGTATCGATGAAAATTGCCAACCTAAAATTTTCAAAGTTCAAAAATTCAAAAATGGTTGTGAATATCGATATTGTTGTTCGATTGAATACGTTCGTGTTTCGTTTTTACATCAAATGGTCAAATAATATATGGGGTGTTCCATTTGAAAAGTTCCGAATTGAAAAATCATTTTCAGCCACCCTGTATCATTTGAGAGCCTGAAACATTTTCAGAAATGTCACTCGTCTTTTCAATAAATGATATTGAGATTATGTTTTCTAGAAGTTTAAAATTGTGGCAACAGTGATATTGTTTCGACCAAAAAATGCATAACTTTGATACGAAAGAGATATAGTCAACGATATTATAGGAGTGGATGAAGATCACAGGGATGCTTCAAAAAATATGCAAATATACTGGGCATTCCCGACCCTCTAGATTATTTTCGGTGCGCCCTGTATAAGCGGCAATAATTTCTAGTTATGGACCTTGTTATCTCATTCACATTCGTTTTTGAATCAGGTTTCTAGCTATCATAGAACTCGAGCAATCGTGCTCCGACGCACTAATGCCCCACCCTGTATTACTAAACTATACAGAGCGCCAAATGAGACAGGTCAACTATCCTTATTCATTACTCTATTACTATTCTTAAATATTTGTAAGCTTTCATATGCATCTTGGTTGTGAGGTTATCAATATGTGTGTTATGATTGTGATTGAACATGCGTTCGACTACACATGATTCATCTAACCTACCATATTTCAAATGTGCTAAGTGTTCTTTGAACCTTGTTTTTATGGGACGCCTGGTTTGACCTATATATGTTTCATCACAATCATTACAACTAATTCCATATATTCCTGACTTTTCAAGTGTGTCCACCTTATCTTTTGGATTACCTAATGAATTGCCTAACTTTGACCCAGACTGAAAAACGCTTTCAGAACCTAGGTCTTTGAAAACCTTATCAAGTCGTCTTGTGTACTTGGGATTGAAAGGGATTGGGAATTTGCTCGGATTGTTTTCATCCGCTTGAAAATTCGTAGAATTCCTGAGTGATAACTTAGATTTATGTCTGTCTGCGTATTGATTAATTGTTTATAAAGTGGCTGGCGTCAATGATTGAAGTTGCGTTTGTTTCAAACCGTTACCGGTTTCAACATTCCTGCTGTGTGATTGCACACCAAATTCCATTCCGGTTGCTACTTTTCAATCCATCAAATTAAATAGAATGATCAGAATGACAATAATTGCAGTAATTGTCATAATTTGTCAAAATATTGATGTATGAGGATATTTTCATTGCAAACAAAAGATATATAATCTGAATGATAAAAAAAAAGATTATATTAACATGGTGGCAATGGAGCAATTAATACAACCAGCTTCCGGGGAATTTTTATGGCTAAATCCTCCAAGTGAGTTCAGAATAGAAATGACAAACTATGTTGGAGATCGCTCTGGGATATCTGAAACTTCTGAGCCCTTTGCAAGAAGGTACCCAGAGAAAGAAACGATGATCAACAAAAGGAAAAAGTTTTTCAGCGTAGTTATCCCAAAGCTGAAATGTTAGAGTGGCTGAAAGATTACAAAAAAGATGTAGAGAACAGAGAGAATGCAAGACTCTTGCTGGTTGAAAAACAACACCAGAAAAACAAGGATGATGGCAGAGATGTTGGAGATTATCAAAAAATAATAGAAGGAGTAGAATCTGAAACTCAAATTCATTTATTATTCTTAGAGATTCAATTGTGTACCTGAAAGGATATGGGCCCCCTTCGCTAAAACAAGTAGATCACTGCAAAATAGGTTGAGTATGCTTAGTGAAAAAATACGGATGCCGTTACGAAAATTTTTCACTGAGCAAACCTAACTTATTTTGCAGTGTTCCTACCCTAGCAAGTGGGCCTCCTTTTTTGAAACACCCTAAATATGTTGTTATTTGTATGAAAAACAAATTCTAAAGGTTAATATTCAAAATCTTTATTTCTTCTGTGAAAATACATGTTTCAAAAACATATAGCTATCCCAGCTATTCCAAAGAACATCACACGAGAACCGAGACGAAAACTGACCAAAATTTCAAAATCTCTTGTCTATGAGCCCACAAATTTTCAACTAAATGAGCTCTTCTTATATGTTGTCTGCTTCTTTTCGTTTCTTTCAATCAATCACTAAATAAACTGTCAAACATGGACTTACATATTCATCAACATTCGGCGTTTGTTTGATGACCCGTATATTCTACTACTGGATTGATACCAAACAAACGCAACTTATGATATCAAAATAGTAGATAAATTAATACGTAGACATAAATTTAAGTTATCCCTCAGGAATTCTACGACTTTTCAAACGGATAAAAACAATCCGAGAAATATCCCAATCCCTTCCAATCCCAAGTACACAAGAGGTCTTGATAAGGTTTTGGAAGACTCAAGTTTTGAAAGCATTTATCAGCTTGAGTCGAAGTTAAGTAATTTATTAGGTTATCCGAAAGATAAGGTGGACACACTTGAAAAGTCAGGAATATATGAAATCAGTTGTAATGATTGTCATAAAACATATATAGGCCAAACCAGGCGTCCCATAAAAACAAGGTTCAAAGAACATATTTGAAATATGGTAGGTCAGATAAATGGTGTGTAGCCGATAACATGTTCAATAACAATCATAACACACATATTGATAACCTCAAATTAGTGAAGAAAGTTAGAATATTAGATGCATATGAAAGCTTAGAGATAATTGAGAATAGTAATAGAGTAATGAATAAGGATAATGAACCTATCCCATTTAGCCCTCTGTATAGTTTAGCAATATAACATGTGAAGTCAACCATGAATAACATTAACTTAGAGTTCGAAAACAAAAAACTAATTCAACAATTTGTTGTTTTTTTTCGAACTAGAAGGGAAGTCGGATTTGATTTTGATCGTTTCAAATCCAAACAAAAACTTCAATGTTGTTCATACTTGACAACTTGACTGATGTGTTCCAACGTTGTTTTCAATAATCTTTAGCTGAATGTGTGTATTACTGCTGATTAGAATAAAGGAAGATATGGTAAATATTTAATCTTATATTCTCATCTTTGTTTCTACAAAAACTAATAACAGGGCAGTATTTCAGCATCACCTTGAATACATAACAACTGTGACAATATGGATGATAAATTACTTGAGCTAAAGCTAATTCTTTCAAATCACGTCAACATATTCATGTACAGAGTTTTTCACGTGTTCCAATGATTTGAATAAAATTATGAAAATTGGAGATAAGGATAGAGTTAATAATAAATTATTGTATAGAAATTAGGGGCATATCACAATCTTAAATAATATGTATTTATTTTACATACTTTCCTAAGACTATCATTAAATTTTTTTTTTGAGTTTCCAAGATGTATTGCGAATGTTTTAGAGTAAGCGCTGATATTTACAAAAATAACGTGAGGTAAAATGAATATCGTACAAAGTTGTTATAGGGATCTTTTACGTGAAAACCCCTGTATTATACGTGTTCCAGGTCTTTTCAAATAGTCAATATTTCAATTGTGCTGCCTATAGAAAACACCACAAAGAAATTGGGCATGGATAGTTGGGAATGTTGATACTGGCTGCTTGAAAAGATATGGAACACTCATCATCTCCCAAGCCAAAAATATGTTATTTAAGTCCTCGCACAATCAATTTCAATTTTTGTGGCTTCACTTTTCAGCTATACCAAAGGAATACATGCTGATTTGTATTCAAATAAAAATGGAATTGGCAGTTTCTCTAAACTCCCTAACGAATATGTAATGATCCGATTTAATTTTTAGTCAAATGAGGTACACCCTGTATTTTTCTTCAAAAATTGAAGTTGATGTGTCTAAACATTTCGGGAACGTCTCGTTTCACCCAATTTTCGATTCGCCCAATTTTCGATTGACCCAATTTTCGATTGTTGAAAAATGAATATACATTCTAGGATGAGGGTTCATTTGAACGAGTCAAGTTAGGTTATTTAAACAAAGGGGTCTCATTTGTTCCTTCAAGTTATTTTCCAAAAAATATACTTTTTAGGAAGGTTCATTTAGGCAGACTAAGTTATTAACTTAGGCCGAGTAAGGTTAAATTGTTTTAAAAAAGGAATCTCTTATCTTCTCTTAAGTAATTAAGCATGCGAAAAATATACTTTCTAGGAATAACGTCCGTTTAGGCCGAGTTAGGTAGGTTAGGTTAGGTAGTTTGGAGAAGGTTATCTCCTTGCTTGTGCAGAAAAGAATATTTTTTGGGTGAATCGAATATTGGGTAAATCGAAATTTGAGCAAATCGAAATATGTACCATACATACATATTATGTGTATCAAAAAATTTGAATATTCAATAATGATAAGCCCAGAATGATTCTTCAATCAGATTTGGCAACAACGCATCGTTCGGGTATATTCGGAGATGGTGGGCGAATCGAAAATTGGGTTAATCAAAAATTGAGCCGAACGCAACCTACCCAACATTTCTTGGAGATAATGAATTCAAAATTTTCAAAATTCATACTATTAGTCTCCAAATGAATTCATTCCTTTGTGATGGTATTCAAACATTCAAAGTTCTACCTCGCTACCAATCCCAGGCCCACCAACGATATACTTTTCCTCGCTCTCGCTCAACTCGCTCTTCAGCGTAGTCACATTCTCGTCGGCCGGTATGGTTATGTTGTTTTCCACCACAGGCTTCTCCGTCTCATCATCGGTTACCGAAGCTGATATCGTCATGATATTTTTCGCTGTCACACCTGAGGATACCAAAAAGTTCGTTTTAATGGTTGCTCATCTCGAAAAAACTCAAATTTGACACTGTATATTGAATTTCTTTTCACCGCCCCGTAATACCAACCTTCGATATCATCATTAGCCTTGAGATTTACGTTTATGCAACTGACCCTGAGTCTATGATGTAGGCCCGTGCTTTTTAATCTATTGCTCCGCTAGTATCATCGCATTCGCCTATGTGTAGGTATGTGTATCTATATTTCTCAATATTTTGACGTTTTCGTCACAATGTTACTATTGTGTCAAGGAAAAAATAGTTGATTGATTGATTGAGCCCCATTGCATACTTTCCTTCAGCTCGAAAGTCTTGCTGACGAAATCCTAGATAATGTTTGACGGTGACATTGTATTTTAAATTCATCTTCATCGCTCCATATACCTACTTTCGATATTATCATTAGTCATAGACAAAATACTTATTCGGGAATTAATCGGTTAATTAGTCATTATGGTCGTGAATCAACCCATTCATCAATCTCGTATTAGATTTTATATAGAAAGGTCGATTCAAGTAGTTTGAAGGAAACTTATATCATTTACAAATGACGAATTAAATTCAGCGTGATTCTTCATTTCCTTTGTGTTTTGCTGTGAAAAATCAAAATTTCTTTGTCATATTTCCGCAATCATTGGGGGAAAGAAAAAATATCATCATGAACAGGATGCTGCATCTCTGGGAAAAAAGTCTATTATATGAGCCCGTGCTTTTCGTCTGATTGCCTTGATAGAATCATCACTGTCGGGATCATCATCAACCAAAACCACTTGGACGTACTCCAGTATTTTCTGAAAATGACGAAGGAGTCTTGTACCTTTCTTTTCAACTCCAACGCCTTGCTGACGAAATCCGTGGACAGCTGCAGCACGTTGTGGTCTGGCGTCACCATGATATGCAACCAGCCCTGAGTCTATGATGTAAGCCCGTGCTTTTTTAATGAATTCTTGCGCTAGTATCATCTCTTTCGCCTTCTATATCAGCTTCATCATATTAATGAGATAACAGTCCAATCCCTAATCAATAAAAAAACTTTTGGATATTTTTCTGGAGGTGACTGAAGAGGTACCCTTCTTCAACTTGACCGCCTTGATGACGAAATCTCATACGATGCGAAATTTGAAAATGACACTGTATATTGAATTTCTTTTCAAAGCCCGGTATACTTACTTCAGATATTCTTCACTCATAGGCAAAATACTTGTTTGGGAATTAATCGGTCAATTAGTCATAATAGTGGTGAATCAAGCCATCCATCAATCTCGTATTAGATTTAATCCCGTACAGTCGATTCAAGTGGTGTAAAGAAAAATTATATTGTTCACATGTGACGAATAAGAATTCATCGTTCAGTTGAGTGATTATTCATTTCATTCGTGTGTTTTGCTTTTGTTGAAATTTCCTTGTCATATTAACAGAAACATAATGAGGGCCGGTTGCATAAAGTATTTGAAATACGAATTATTATACAATTTTTTATATACATGTCAATGTATGTCTTAGCTGATAGTGAGTTTGGAGAGTTTCATTATTGTCAAGTTGATAGAGAGGTTTATGCAACTGACCCTGAGTCTATGATGTAGGCCCGTGCTTTTAAATTCATTGCTCCGCTAGTATCATCGCATTCGCTATTTATAACAGCTCCGACATAATCAAATAACATTCCACTCCCTCATCAGTCAACGAAACATTTGAATATTTTTCTGAGAATGACTGGAGACTTTTTTAGTATTGTTTCTCGTAGGGTCCCTTGATGTAAATTGACGTATTTGTCATCTTAACAGGGTACGGACGGATAATTTTCGAGTTTTTGATTTTTCAACTTCAGCATAATCTTTGTGAGGCAGGGAGCAAATTTTTCTTAAAGTTTAATACGTTTCACCATTCTTAGGCAATACCTATAAAAAAATGAATTATGATTTCAGACTAAGCCTTATGGTTGATAAATGGTGAAAAATTGTATGTAGGTATTCAAACTAATGTACTCATATGTCATGTGAGCTGTATATATTCATGTTGGGAATCATTTTTGCAGTTTTTCACGAACACTTAATATTTCCTGAATGTAGGTATGATTTTTTAAATATGCCTCTTCTTTTAATCCTCCGTTTTAATCAAAACTGTTTCTACTAAAATGCATTCAAAAACTTGTGGAGTGGATAATGATAGACACAATGAGAAAGTATAATATGTGATTTCGTATTAGTTTTACCTCGAATATTTTGCTGATGTATTTACCAATTTTCCCGATTCGGTCACTTCACTTTCCATGTTCTAAGTTGATTTGTATTTGATGGAAAGCTGACAAATTCAAATTTGCCATCCAACTGATTGATACAGCCTGAAGCAGCACATTTTACCATCCATCCAAAACAGAATTGAATATTGTATTAGGATCAAGTATGAAATTGAAATTTTGTAAGATCTCCTTTAACGCCAATGAATGTGACGTGACAGCAATGTCATGTCAGGGACGCCAATACACGAAAACAAAATCACTAGATGATTAAAAGAGAAAGGAGCTATGATCTGACCGTACCCTGTTAGATGACAAATACGTCAGTTTGCATCAAGGGACCCTAGTTTCTCGTTTCTGTGTTGAAGTCGGTATGTCTGTATTTTTTTAATGAATTTTGACATTTCCGACACAATGTTATCATTGTTCTAAGGAATAAAGAGTTGTTTGCTCACCTTTCTTCAGCTCGAGCGCCTTGCTGACAAAATCCGTGGACAGCTGCACCGGCATGGCGTTGTGATCCGGCGTCACCATGAAGATCTTGTAGACCGGCTCGCCGTTCGGCCCCGTCTCGGTCACGATCATGATCGACCCGGGCTCGACGGTGGCCGGAGCAGCGGCCGCAGGCGCTCTCGCCCTCGACAGCACGCTCTCGACGGTCGCGAGGCGCTCCTCCTCGTCGTCGTCGTCGTACTTGCGCACGGATTTCGGCATCCTGCCAGACCTGCAAGGCACGCGAAGAGATTTCATAGTACTTGCTACTAATCACTTCACCTGAATACATAACCAGCTGTTCCGGAACGTTTTCACACTTCTTTTCGTCTTAGTTTTAGTTTTTGTATATACAGGGTGTTTCAAAAAACCGAACCTCCTTGCTAAAGTAGGTAGAACATTGCAAAATAAGTTGGGTTTGCTCAGTAAAAAAATGTCGTAACGCCATCCATTTTCAAGATACAAGGTGCTGAAAAAATATTTTTTTACACATTTTTTACGATTATGTTGAAACTACTGGCAACATTGTCATGAAATTTTGTATGAATGTGTTTTGAAAGCTGACACATCGAATGAATTCGTTTTTATATCTGACACTCATAGAGGGCGCTAGTTACACGGTGCGTACCGAGTACTTCTAAACATAACTTTTTTGAGGTTGGATTTTTCAGTCCAAATTTAATGTGAACTTGAACATCATTCAATTTTACACTAAAAAGGTACTCTTGGTAAAACTTGATACTGTGTACCGTTTTCGGAATATTTAGATTTGAAAATGCTGAAGTATAACACTGACGCTAGTTGAAAGTAAGTATTATAAAAGACTGTTACCTATTTATCAATAACCACGTCAAGAGCTGCAAGAAAGAATTGAACATCACTTCAATGATATGATAGCTGCTCCTCAACCGTTGAGAAGATTGATGCATTCTTTAAAAAAAAGGATCGAATTGTGTATTCGTGAAAACGGAGGACATTTTGGACACTAACTCTAACTAGATGATGTTTTTAGTCAAATTTAATTAAATATTTTCTGCTATGATTTTGTTTAATCGATAACTTCAGCAGTAAAATAATGTTAATGTTTTTGGTCCTTAATAAATAGATAATTGTTTTTTATAATACTTATTCTAATACCAGAATTGGAGTTATTGCTTCAGCATTTTCAAATCGAAATATTTCGAAAACGGTACACAGTATCGAGTTTTACCAAGAGCATCATTTTGGTGTAAAATTGAATGGTGTTCAAGTTCACATTGAAATTTGACTGAAAAATCCAACCTCAAAAAAGTTATGTTCAAAAGTACTCGGTACAAACCGTGTAACTAGTGCCCTCTAAGAGTGTCAGATATAAAAACAAATGTATGCAGTGTGTTAGCTTTCAGAACACATCCATACAAAATTTCATCACAATGTTGCCAGTAGTTTCGACATAATCGTAAAAAATGTGTAAAAAAAATGTTTTGTAACTTCTTGTATCTTGAAAACGGATGTCGTTACGACATTTTTTCACTGAGCAAACCCATCTTATTTTGCAATGTTCTACCTACCCTAGCAAGGGGGATAGGTTTTTTTTAAACACCCTGTATACAGGGTGAGTCATAACTATTGGGACATAGGCTAAGGGCGGATTGATTGGACCAAAATATGGCGACAGGACTAAATATGCCTTTATAGAATATTGCTGTGGAAAAAGATACAAGGCGTTGAAGTTTACTTTTTATTTTCGCGTTTTGCCAATAATTTCACTGTATATTCATCAATTGTTATCAAAATTGGCACAGAGGCGTAATTCTATGCAGGGAATATTATTTTATGCACTATTCTACATTTTGATACAGGGGGCGCCATGTGAATGACTCCTAATGATGAAATCGCCTGGTTACTTTGCTTGACGAAACTTTTGAGTGATTTTGATTAAAAAATATGACCAAAACATTATTTCTACGTAATATTGGTACTCTTGTTTGAACACGATATTTTCATCCGTTTTCGAGAAAAACGCTATTGAACAGTTCAGAGTCTCAGAAGTTAATTACAAATATCATTTCATTCATGAAGAATGCGCTTTGAACTGTCAGATAATGCTGCTGGTAATGGCAGTTCTTGTCAGAGAATGAATTTTGGTGCGAGTTTATAGTCAAAATTTTTTCGATTGAAATGCCTCGTCACAATCATCTTATGAATGAATAAATGCGGGATGCAGCCAGAAGGTATGAATTGTAATATCTCTAATATCTAGGCAGAAAGCAACCAAATCACAAAACTTTTTCAAATATATTTCATATACAAAGAAATTATTAGCCAAAAACCGACAAAAAACGAGAAAAATCAACTTTAACGTCCTGTATCTCTCTTCACAGCAATATTTTATTGAGGCATGTTTGGTCCAATCGCCATATTTTGGTCCAAACAATCCGCCCTAAGCCTATGTCCCAATAGTTATGACTCACCCTGTATATACCGGGTGTCCCATTTTAATCTTTATTTGTAAATTTCTCGAAATGTATGCATCTGACAAAAAAAAAGCCGAATAAAAGTTGTATGGTTTGAAGGGGGACGTCTGGTTGTAAAACAAGTTTCACCCCCTGACCCCCAGGGGAGTGGGAAATGGAGGTAACATTGAAATCTTTAATGGAAACTTAAAAAACAATATTTCACTATTTTGTTTGTAGTTGGGTGACTTTTTATCACTAAAAAGATATCAAGCAGTTCGAATTAACACATTTCAACACCCTGAAGACGAGGAAGAGTGTAGGGTGTGAAATTCCCAGACAAACGCCGTCAATCCCACTTAAAACCAGCTTTAGTCTGACCTAAATGGTACCTCAATTGCTGAACCATGCTTATTTTTCTCTTTTCTATGTAGAGTTGTCAAGGTGAGTAAGTTCGTTTAGCGTTAATTTGTCGTGTGAATATCACCCCAATGGCGTTTGTCTGGGAAAATATCACACCCTACACTCTTCCTCGTCTTCAGGGGGTTGGAATGTGTAAATAGTAAAATATTGTTTTTTACGATCGCAGCGCCATCTTGTGAAAATAAAAAAGAAGTTCCCGAATAAAAGCTTCATAGTTTTTGATGCTCTTCCAGAATCTGCAATGAAAAATAGGGGTTTCCATTAAAGATTTCAATGTTACCTCCATTTCCCACTCCCCTGGGGGTCAGGGGGTGAAACTTGTTTCATAACCAGACGTCCCCCTCCAAACCATACAACTTTTATCCGGCAATTTTTTTTTCAGATGCATACATTTCGAGAAATTTATAAATAATAAAGATTGAAATGGGACACCCGGTATGTGGTGCACAAAGAATCACTTTCTTGAATTCAACCGCCGTTTCGCGTTCATGAAAGTTACATCCAATCCTGTGGATAGCGATCCCTGCGAGAGAAACGAGAAACAGACAGACGCGACGAGCGGAGACAGCAAAATAAAATCGAGTAAGAACCTATTTGAGTGATTCAAACCTGCGTTTTACGGTGCACCGCGTCCGCATGTTAAATTCCACTTCGTAATTTCTTGACGCATCCAATCTATTGTATAATAGCTTATGGAGTAATAAAAATGATGATGATGATGATTCATCTGCTTACCTCGTGGGACCTTGAGGCATGACGATCTCGTCGTCAGATTCGCTGTGAGTGGCGAGATCAGATTCGTCTGCATCGCTGTCCTCCACAAACGAATCGTTTCTGGCCCGTTTGAATTTCTTCATTTTTTTGGGCGGTCTGGGCTCCGGCTTCGGTTTGGGCGGTTTGTTGAGTTTGAAGTTTGCTTCTTTCTCTTTTTCTGCGACTAGAATTCATATGATCGTCATTACACAAGGTTGGGAAGAGGTCAAATAAAGGTAATGGTTATTCTATATGTTGAAATAAAAAATGACAGTCATTGTTGCCACATTCTCTTTTCTCCCGGAACTCACATCAACTTCCTTCTTTTAATTTGGACATCTAATATTTGGATAATAAAAGACTACCTTGAAAACAGGCAGAACAGAATAAAAATCAACTCAGTATTCTCAGACCCCTTTAGTCTTTCACAGGGAGTACCACAGGGCTCACCTGTAGCTCCTTTTCTGTACAATATTTTCTGCCATGACATCAGTAATGCACTACCAAATGATGAGGATGCTTATCTTCTACAATTTGCAGACGATGCCACCTTGATAGCACATGGCAATAACATGCAGAGAATGATGGAAAAATTACAAGATATGGTTAGCAGGTTATCAGAATGGTTCTGCGAATGGAGGCTAACACCCAACCCAAGGAAATGCAAATTAATCATTTTCAACCATAAAATAGTGGACAGGTTCACCAACCATCAACATGCTTTCATAGATTGCCAAACTAAAAAGAGTTGAAAATAAATAGTAGTTTGAAAAACTAAAGAAATACGCTTTTATGGATAGCCAAACTAAAAAGAAGTAGCAATTGAAATAATAAAAGTGTGTTGATAAATATTTACCTAGAAGATAATTTTTTAGAAACAAAATGTGGTGAAGCTACTAAGACTCATGTTGTTTGCGGTGGAAAATATTATAATTTCAAGAAAAATATGTAATAATCTTCATAATCAAAATTCTTATGTCTTGTCGTTTTTGATGAAAAAAGTCCATGAAAATCAAAAACCAGGTAAAAAAGTGATTTTTAAATGGTTCCAATGTTCGTTCAGACCTATAAAACAAAAAAACAATGTATTTTGAAGTCTACTGAAGATGGCCCACAGTTGAAAATTTTATTTTTCAAAACCAGTTTCAAAATAAATCATCAATAGAAAAACATCAGTGCCCAATATCACTTACTTTTCCTCTTTTCTGCTCTTCTGGCCATCTTCTGCTTGGTCAATTTTCTATCTGCTTCTCTTTGTTTTAGCTCATCTTCCTTTTGTTTTAGCTTCTCCTGCATTTCTTTTTCTTCTAAATCCACTTCATTCTTCAATTCGTCAAAATCAAAATCACCTGGATGCATTACTGCCCTATTCCAAAAAAGTCAGATTATTGAACATACAAAAAGTCAAAAGTGAATCACACTTCTTCTATTTGACTTAAGATAATTTTGCAATTTTTTCATCAGTGGATCAGAGAACTATTTTTGTTCAAAATTAAAATGTATCGATTTCTGTGCTGTGACTTGATATCCATTGAAATAAACAATATTCAAATTAATTGGGATTACCTGTTCATCAGACCTTTATTCAAATTCTCTTCCTTCTTGAATTTCATTTTGAGTTCTCTGCGAGATCGGTTTGGAAACAGTTCACACATCAATGAGAAATCTGTTCCAATTATGTTGATAGCTTTGTAAAATCGAATTGTTTCATATTCACTCCATTTCTTCGATCTTTTGTGCTTTTTATAGATACCATAACCTGAAATCAGTGTTTCAAATGGTCCTTGGAAGTTTTGTCATAATATAAATATGATGGAAAAATTGAAGTATCAGGCATTATCAAGGAAAGTTTCAAGGTGTGTACTGACCTGTGTCAAAATCACCATCAACTATTTTTGTTTTTGCCATTTCCTCAATTTGTTTTTTCACCTCTTTCCTCTCAATCACTAAACTCTGTTCATCAATGATGATTTCACCAGATGGTCCGATTTTTATTTGAGGAACAGGCACTGCACTTTCCTCATCATTTTCCTTTTCATTTTTAGAAGTATCATCTGACAGATCAATAACTTCAGTTTTTGGATCATCTACATCAATTTCCTCTTTGGGGTTGTCTTCAATTTTCTTATCACCTTCCCTATGAATTATAATCAAAGATTTTAAAATCACACAATTACCCTCAAAAAAAAATATCCTGATCCAGATGGTTTAATCTCGGGAGATCTAATAGAATTGAAAAACATTATGGTTGAACCATTAACACAATTAATCAATAAATCATTGTCAACAGGTATTTTTCCACATGAATTAAAATATTAAGGTCAATATACAGCGTGTCTCACTTTAAACGGCCCCCCCTCTATATCTCAGCTATTAGTTATGTGAATCTAATCAAATTTGGTGTGGTATGAATAACCATCAATTTGATCAGTCTTACAGAGATGCACATCATTTTGGACAGTGCCGTGCGTTTTTATTGAACTAAAAAGGGATCGATTTTTTATAAAATCATGTATCATGTGATCAGGCATTTTTTTTTCAGGAAATCTAACCTCATATTATTGTTCCTCATGCTTTCAAACCCCCATATGCAAAAAATCAAACTCAGTTTTAATCTTCTCCTGAATATGCTAACATAGTTAGCGAAACACGTGTGGAGGCGTTAAAAAATCGGTTTGGTTAGTGGTAAAACAGTGTAGTGTACTTTTACAAGTAATCAATTTTATACAAGATAGACTTGACAAAGGAAATTATGTAGTAGCTATATTTATGGACCAAATAAAAGCATTTGATACAGTTGACCACAATATTCTCCTGAAAAAACTTAATTCAATAGGCATCAGAGGTATTGCAAACAATCTATTGAAAACATATCTAGAAAAAAGGACTATCAGCACTAAAATCAATAATTATTGTGAATCTAAAATAAATAAACAAATAAATAATCTTTATTATTCCCAAGAATATATCAACAAAGGAGTTCCCCAAGGATCAGTGTTGGGCCCAATTCGGTATCTTCTATACATTCAAAACATTTCAAAAATAAATTAAAAGTAAAAAAAAAACTTTTCAATAAAAAACTTTTATATAAACGCTCTAAAAAGAAGAAAATAAAATTTTTCTAAATAATTTCAACTATCAACTTATAACCCCTCATTATACACAATTTACATGATTATAAAAGTTTGTCGCGCGATTCACATGTGTGAATGAACTAGTACTTATTTAATTATGTAAAGTCTTCTGAGATGAAATTTTTAAAATTACAATTTAATTGAATATTGATCATCGCGACAAGCTTCTATGATCATATAAATTGTCTATAATGAGGTTATAAGTTGATAGTTGAAATTATTAAGAAAAATGTTATTTTCTTCTTTTTAGAGCGTTTAAATAAAAGCTTTTTATTAAAAAGTTTTTTTTTTACTTTGGATTTTTTGATTTACTTTCAACGAGCCTTCTCATTTGATACCCATATTGTAGAAGTATATTGAAAATTACCATTCCGCCATCTTGGATGGTCCGCCATAATGGATTTAGAATGACGTCACATCATTTTTCGAGTTACGCTCAACGAGCCTTTTCATTTGATACCCATATTGTAAGAAGTATATTACAAATAGCTATTCCGCCATCTTGGATGGTTCGCCAAATCGGATTTAGAATAACGTCACATTATTTTTCGAATGACTCTCAACGAGCCCTTTCATTTGATACCCATATTGTAGAAGTAGATTGAAAATGACCATTCCGCCATCTTGGATGGTCCGCCATATTCGATTTAGAATGACGTCACATCATTTTTCGAGTTACTCTCAACGAGCCTTTTCATTTGATACCCATATTGTAGAAGTATATTAAAAATAGCTATTCCGCTATCTTGGATGGTCCGCCATATTGGATTTAGAATAACATTACATTATTTTTCGAATGACTCTCAACGAGCCCTTTCATTTGATACCCATATTGTAGAAGTACATTAAAAATTACCATTCCGCCATCTTGGATGGTCCGCCATATTCGATTTAGAATGACGTCACATCATTTTTCGAGTTACTCTCAACGAGCCTTTTCATTTGATACCCATATTGTAAAAGTATATCAAAAATAGCTATTCCGCCATCTTGGATAGTCCACCATATTGGATTCAGAATAACGTGACACACCTTATCGTGCATTGTCATCCAAACTGAACGTGTATACAAAATTTCAGCTCAATCGGTTGAAGATTTCTACTTCAAAATTGAGTTCAAAGATTCCACCCAAACATACATACATACATACAAACATAAAATGCAAGTTAAATAAAAGCTTTTAAAATTAATAAAGGAAATTATGCCATATATGCAGATGACAGTACTTTAATTTGAGAACAAAAATCCTGTAATTTTAGAAAACAACATAAATGAGGATTTGAAAAAAATTGAAAAAAGGCTATACTCCAATCTTTTTCCCTTAATTCTAATAAGACCCAATTTATAATTGTCCATCAAAGAATAAAATATATCATTATATTAGAATGAAAAATAAAAGATTGAAACAAACTGCCTATACCAAATACCTTGGTATTTGGATTGCTGAAAAGTCAACATGGGACAAGCATATTGGCATGCTCAAAGAAAAAATTTATCCCATAGTTGGTGCCCTTAGAAGATTTCCAAAACTTATCCCAAATATAGCAAATACCATTCTATACTCTCACATCCTTAGTAAAATGAACTATCTCATAAATATTTAGGGTTCATATTCCAAGAATAATTTTAACAAAATATCTGTACTATATAAAAAAGCATTAAAAGTACTGTATTGCCTTCTATATGACACCCCATCAAATCAACTTTATGAAGAAACAAATACATTTTCTTTGGAAGAGCACTATCTGATAAATACTCTCAATTTTTTTTTTTGATATTATCAACAAACACCTGAAATCTAACTTCATATTGGTAAGGAATTGTCAAATCCATGAACATCATACTAGGCAATATGACTTGTTTCATCTTGATGCTGCTAATTCTACACTTGGTCAAAAAAAGTTCACTCATGGAGCTATCCCAAAATTCATTAAATTACCTGATGATATCAAAAGTTGCAAAAATATCACCCAATTCGAAATAAAGTCAAGAAACATATCCTCTTGCAAAGAGAAAATCAAACCTGAATGAATGATTTCTCATTCACTAATTTATTTCATCATGTCATATGTACTTTTCATGAGCTTTTTGTTTTCTTATTATTTTTTTTTTAATCTGTTGTTCATTTCAATAACTATAATTTGATTTAATAATGCATGAATTATCTCATACCAGATATGAATCTGTCTGATTATTCATGTTATTCCATTGTAAATGTTAATAAATATATTAATATTTATATGAGATACAATGTAATGTTCATATGGCAAAGAATGAAATAATTCAATCTCAAAGGTTTGGAAGGTGGCTAGTTATTCTTTTTTCCGATTTTTCCATTCCAAATCAACTTTTTGCAGAAAAAAGCAAAAACAACCTTCAAGAATGAAGATCATTTGTTGTATTTTGGGCTGTGGTAGACATCCATACTTACAACATATGATTTGATTCTGGATTATAAAAAATTAGGTCCATCATAGTAAGTTTATGTCTATCTGGTTTATTTGGCCCAAATTTTCGTTGAAATTCCCTCCTAGCCTCTGCAAGTTTCCTTGTTTGTTCTGAACGTATGCATTTTTTTGGTGCTGCAGTTGGTACCTCTTTGGGTCTTTGAGGAGAAAAGCATTCTGTGACTGATTCTGCAATTGCAGAAGTTGTAGAACAAACCTGAAATGAAAATTTGAAATAACTAGCCATCTTAGGATTATTCAATTATTTCAAAACCAGATAAAACTAATTGAAAGTTACAAATATCACAAATGTAAGTATAACCTGATTTTTTTCCTGAAAATGACAAAGATGAGTGAAAAATGCTAGGCCATGTTGAGCCATCAATAATTGATAAATAAAGCTTGTACATTTAGTTGAAAACTAATGAATTGACTGAAAATCTTGCTGAAAATAGGACATTGTCAGGTAACATAGAATACATAAAACTATAGAATACATTGAGATAAAATAATTATTTTAAATACCTTCTATAAAGGCACATTGGTTCATTGGGAAAATGCAGGAAAATTAAATATCAAATTCAAAAAAATTATATCAGAGGGCTAAATTATTGTTTGAATATAACAATTTAGATGAATTTGTCACCTCACATCAGCTTGGTACTAGATATTAATCTTTATCATTATAAAGAGAAATATTATAAATATGTTTATAGTTAGCAGAAAAGACTGTTAGTTCTTAGTTCAGATATAAAATGTTGATTGCATCATCTGGATCCTTGTGGTCATTTTAATAGAAGGCAGATCAATAGGAAGAAAAGATTATAAGTAGTACTTAAATTACCAGATGAAAAATTATTACTTACTGAATCATTTCTGATTCTATTATTCTTCCTACTTTCATCTTCAGATTCACTAGCACTAAAACTAGCTTTCCGATAATCTAACCTGGGTACAGCCTTTATTCTAGTCCTATTTATTTTATTTGGACTTGGTGGTGGTGGAGGGTATTCAGTATCTGAATGTGCAGTAATAGAGTTGAGAATAACAGGTGATTTTTTTATGTCAGTTCCTGAAATCATCAAAATCTGAAGTATACACATTACAAACACATTATTATTATCAATAATATGACCAATGTAGTCATCAACAACATTATTAATAAACCATCAATGAACATGAATGAATAACAATTTAGTAGCACTGCTCTGTATGTACATCCTCCCAAACTTTAAGATACTATATATAAATACTGCAGCTGAATTTGAGATGAATAATTCATACTTACCAACACATTCCTTAGGTGTAGAAGAATTAGGGTTTTGTGATGTTAAATCTGTTTCATCTAAATTATGATTAATTTCTATTAAATCTTCCACAGGAACTTTCTCAATACTATCATCTATTTTATTATTACCCCCACAAGATACCCCAACAATATTGTCTTTAGTTTTTTCATCATTATTCTCATTTGGAATAGAGTTTTCTTGATTTTGGCAATCTTGTTTAGGTTTCTCCTTTGGTTTCCGACTTATTGTATTCACTGCTACTGGAATCTTTATTAGTTTTCTCCTGATGAAAGGCACTTTCGGTTCACTAGGTGGATTGTGGACAACCGACTCTTCATTGGTACCCACTTTTGCCATGATTCCTTCATCCAATGATTTTTCAGCAATTAGCAATAATTCACATTTCTCAGCTATTACAGAATGTTTTCATTTAAAAATAGATCCCATACTGAAAAAAGTACAATAACTGGAATGAAAATAAAAAAATGAAATCATGTATTTATCAAATTTTCATTGTTTCAGAGTTTACATTCCATCAATTCATCACAAAGAACAAAGATAAGTTGACAAGTTGACAGCTCGAGCTCCCACTAACCCAACATTTGGCTTGGACCAATCAGGTCACACGTTGGAGAAAAGGGAATTTGGACCAATCAGACAATTCTATTTGAAATCCTTGAGTAATTTGAAAAGGTATATACAGGGACTCTAAAGGTATATACAGGGACTCTAATTTGAATCAGCCAGATTTTACAGTTTGAGCATTTCAAATAATATATGTGATTGTTTTGTTATTATTATCAATTAATATAATTAATAAAGTTGAATTTTCTAATTACCTGATCTGGATTAAAATTCATTATTTATTGTGAAGTTTAATAAGTGTGTGTGAAAATTACCAGGCCCTTTTATCTCTACGCCGGTATAGAGGCCAGATGATGACGGTTCATCGGGTAAAGGGGCCATACTTGAAATAATGATCTTATGGAATCAAACGTGCTCCAGTAGGAGCACATAAGATAGAATCTTGAACTTTGATGAACTCGATTTCCGGGCATGGTGACGGACTACGGTGTCTTTAGTGCTCGAGTCGAGAGATAATATTATCAAATAACCATATATAATTCTTGAAAAAATGTAATTACCTGATCTAGAGAAATTGTTACCGAAAGGAGACAGAAATCCAATAAACCCTAAAGAAGAAGAAATAAATGAAAAGTAAACTGCTAGTCTGAAGTGAAGAGGTGACACTCATGAATGGAATTTGAAAAGGGTGCCACAGAGTTCAGCTACGAAAAAAGTCTTAACACAAATTCAGTAAAATATCCTGAATTATGATTTTTTTAATGAGTCCCGCCACTTCAACACATCCCCTCTTCTCCAACATTTCACCTGATTGGTCCAAGCCAAATGTTAGAAGGGCTAGTGTTCCTGGAGCTGTCTACAGGCATTCGTGTCTTTCCAATGGCGAATGACATTGACTGACAATGACATCACTGAACTGACAATTGACACACATGTCATTTCCTGTCATCCGGGCCAGATGTTTGAGCACAGTAAAGAGAGTTTGATGTTTTCCATCTGTCACAAAAAAAAACTCCAGTGGACGTCTGGACGACTTTTTGTTTATCACAAATCTTTGCACAAATGCATTTAATTTAAATTGAATAAATATGTTGAAGTCTCCTGAAAACCTCTATAATATATGTATTAACGTAGCTGTAGCAGATTGTGTGTCAGCTTGTAAGCTTTGCAAAAAGGAGTATCGATCTCTGCCCAATAATGTTCTTTTTGATTTTTACTATAAGGTGAGCAACTGCAACAGATTTTCCAATGATCTCATATATCTCTTAAATTTCCAGATGTTCTTAGAAAAACGACTATGCCTTCTGGCAGTAGAACTCAGTGATTTAGAAGTTTTCAGTAGAGTATTATCAGTGAAGCACCAAAGGACAAAGTTCCTGAAGAGTTTCCAATCCCTTATAGATCATGGCACCAAGATACCAGATGAATTGATATCAGGTTATATATATTTTTGCAAAAATAAAAATCCAGAGGACACTTTAGCAATAGGACTGGGATTGAAAATCGGAGCATTCTTCAATGAGGGAGGGCTGTTCAGTCATTCTATAGATGTTTTGAACTTCACTGAGACAATGTGCAACAAGAGGAACAGAGATATCACAACTCTGAGAATGTTATTGGATTGTTATCACAAGTGAGCAAACAACAACAATAATGTCATTTAACATATTTTATCATATCATATATTGTGACAATAAGGTTAATATTTAAAAATGTTGATTAACTTTTTCTGATTCTGAATTAACATGTTGACTACATTAGCATATTGTTGGATTTTATTAGTGAAGATAACAAATCTATATGTGGAAGACCTTTTGTTTTTAATAATTCTGATTCATTTCTTCTTCCATTAATGATTTTACATATAAATTTTGATTAAGCCATGAATGATACTAAGTCATTTTGAACTAACAAGTTGCATGTACAGTTACAGGTTAATTACATTGCATGATTTTATCATTAACAGTTTCTCCATTAGGGAATTATTTTCAGTGCATTATGATTTGGCCAAATAATAATTCCTTACTTTGAAATCCAGTTTAAGCTAATTGTTGTCTTGAATTCATCTTTAAGAAGTCTTACTAGTGTGAAACTACCCCAGGAATCAGGACAAGATATTTTTTCCTATTCAAAATGAAAAATTTCTGATTTTTCTTCCATTTTTGAGGTCTTGAAAGGGTAAAATTGCAACAAAGTCAGGAAACACCATTAATTCATTTCTGAGCAAAGCTTTGGAATTGTCTGCCAATGGAAGTGTTCCCAACAAGAACTTATTACCTCCAGAAGTTGAAAAAAAATCCAATACCTATACCTTCCTTCCTATCCTCTCTATTTATGCTCAATGTTCTGAACATTATAGGAATTCCCCTTGGCATTCCCTTTCCTGTGCCCAAAAAAATAAAAATAAGTCCCCTATCAAAAATGACAAATTTCCGATTTTTTCATTGTTAGGATAAAAATTTAGTGAAGTAGATGTGAAAGAATCATGGGACATCATAAATTAATTTCATGAATCTTCTGTATTCTTTGATAAAAAAAAATCCAGGACAAAATATTTGTTCCTATTCAAAATGACAGATTTCTGATTTCTCCACAATTTTCAGCATGCATAAATTTAATAATGATAATAATAGTAAATTGACTTTGTTTCACAAATGTACATGCATTTGCCCAGAGCTAAATAGCTACTCTTGAACCCTTCACCGTCTCAGTTTATAGAATAAACAAAAAATAAAATGAAAAGATTCATACAATGTTATTGATGGTATATATGCATAGATAAAAGAGAAAGAATGAAATGCAATTTTCAAAATTTATTTAATGGTGTTAATTCTGGTTTGGAAGAATTGAAAAGAGTTACAGCATTATAGGTGAAACTGCATCCAAATTTCATAGTATATGGTTGGTTTTCTCTACAGCACTTATCAGGGTTGGAATGAGTCATGAATTTAATGAAAAAGTGAAGAAAGTCCTACTTTTCTCGAACTAATCCACTTTCAAAAATAAAATTTTATGAACAAACTGAAAATATTGATTGACAAAAATAAATAAATTCATATATGCAACTTATAACTTATTCAAAATCTTCATTAGAGCTACTGTAAAGTTTGAAATCTTCTAAAAATTGCAGCAATTCTCATTTTGTGCCTACACACTAGTGTCATTTTGGACAGCATTTTTTTTTGTTTAATCGCCAGGCACCAAAATACTCATTGAAATGTCCAGTTTAGTTCAATAAAAAAAGCTCTCATTTTATAAGTGAATAAACTATGGATTTTCGATATTTCATACATTACTTATAGATTATTAGATGCCAATTAAATGTTACTGTTCTCATGGTTTTTTCTAACACAATGAGAAGTAAAACACAATTTTGTTCTACAAAAAGACTTTGCAAGCAGGTCATTCCAATTCAGTGTTATATAGAATATCACTTTTCATAAATTACTTTTTTCCCGTGGGAAAAAAGTGAGTACTTTTTTCCGGGATATATATCACATATATAAACACTGTTGATGGCTTTCGTTGTGCTATAGTTCCGAAAAATAAGTCAATAATACCGTCTCAAATCACAGAATCAGACTGACAGAAGTGAAATCCGATATTTGATTACTTCAAATGGATGATAAAGATGCCTACAATGCGGTGTCCCTACTGTTAAAAATTTAAAATTTCACGTCGATAATTTTCAGATTCCAAAATAATGTAATAACTTCTCAATATTGATTCTTCCTTTCTTCTGTCACAGAAAAAAATAGTGTATTATACACGGGAAAAATATTAGATTTTAGCTCACGGTTTGTTGTCTCCCTCTGCTACGCGGAAAAGGAACTCGAATTAATTCACGAATTAAATTACTGACTTAAGCCACATGAATTAATTCATGCCATACTATTTCGTTCATCAGGAGCCGTTATGACTAAAAAAATTGTAATATTGTTCAAAAAATTCATAGCATATATTTTTTCCCTGTCCTAATAGTAATTTTCCGATATTCTTCAATTGATAAAGATTTTTATATTTGAACAAAAAAATACACAGCAAGATATTTTTCATGCTAGAAATGACCGATTTCGAATTTTTCTGGTTTTTGGAGGCATGATTGATTCATTTCATGTTATATCTCGTATTTTTTTACAGAAAAATCCATATCAAGTTTTTTTTTGGGGGAGAATTCTGATTTCCCAATTGAAAAAAAAATGTATGCGACATCATCAGGAGTCAGTCACCATTTATGGTATAACTTCAAATTTTTTGCCAAAAAATCATCAGCATATTTTTCATATTCAAAATGACGTATTTTAAATTTGTGAGGTGACAAGGTGGGGAAATAAAATGCACAAAATCAGGAGGTATCATGAATTAATCTAATAATATTTACAGTGAGGACGTAAAAAGTCCCCCCCCCTCCACCTTTAACCTTTGAACGGAACAAGCTAGCGAGGTCGGGTAAAATACTGGCAAAAAGGTAACTTTTTCACTACTATTTGGCATGAAAATGGTTGTGGTCACGTGACCTAGTGTCGAGTGGACACCATCAACTTTTTTTTTTCAAATATAAAGAGGGGTCACGTGGTACTTTGTTTTTAAGACCTTTCGATTCTCTATCCAACACTCCTTCGTTTGTACAAATCGGCCAAGCCGTTTCAAAATGACAAGCAAGCGTTTGAAATTTGCTTCAAATATTAATATTAATGAATAAAAAACCTAAATAACCCTTAATTGCAGCAGAATTTCAAGTAGGAATTGTAACAAGTGCTCAAACATGCTCGAAATGATCATCGTTCACTTATTGACATAAAAAATCAGTTTTATAATACTTAATGTTTTCAAATATTATATTATTTATTAGTACATTAGTAGTATTAGGTACATTTCAAACGCCTGTCATTTTGAAACGGCCTGACCGATTTGCACAAACAAAGCGGGGAGCATCTCTTTGCACCCACATCTCGTTGGGGCCACATTTCGTTGTAGCCACATCTCGTTGCAGCCACATCTCGTTGGAGCCACATTTCGTTAGGCCCACAGTCTCCGAACGTACCCGAACGATGCGCTGTTGCCACATATAATACAAAAATCTCGATTATACTGGAAAGGTTATTGTGGCCCTAACGAGACACTCTAATCTTGAAAAATCCACGTTTCTTTCAAGCTACATTTCGTTGCACCCACATCTCGTTGGGCCCATTTCTCGTTGGAGCCACATTTCGTTGCAGCTACATCTCGTTGCAGCCACATCTCGTTGGGCCCAGATTCGGCGACCCGGGTTCAATGCCTGAGACGGTCGGCATTTTTTTTATTTTGTTTTCTCAAGTGATTTTCCGAAAAATATAAATTCTAGGAAGAAGGTTCATTTAGGCCGAGTAAGGTTAGTTGGTTTAAAAAAGTAGTGTCCTTTTTTATGCAGAGGGATATTTTCCTTCCTGAAAAAAGTACTGTCTTTTTAGGAAGAAGGTTCATTCAGGCTGAGTAAGGTTAGATGGTTTTAAAAAAGTAGTCTTCTTTTTTATCCTTCCTCGCTGAAAAAAGTACTGTGGAGGCATTTACTGTGCTGTTGAGGCTGATAGTGATTCGCTATTTCAATGATATTATTTCAGGATCGGTCGTGAGCGAAGCTCTTGGCCGGAAATTTTCTATTAACTTGATTCTGCACCAATTAAGGGTATTGGTTATTTACCTGTGGCTCCAACGAGATGTGGCTGTAACAAAATGTGGCTCCAACGAGATGTGGGTGCAACGAAATGTGGCTTGAACGAGATGAAAGTATAACGCAATGTCTCGTTAGAGCCACAATATCTTTCTCAGTAAAATAAGGGGTCCTGTGGCAACAGCGCAGCTTTCGGGTACGTTTGGAGACTGTGGGCCCAACGAAATGTGGCTCCAAAGAGATGTGGCTTCAACTAGATGTGTCTGCAACGAAATGTGGCTCCAACGAGATGTGGCTGCAACGCGGCGCACTCACAAAGCGGAGTTGGATAGAGAATCGAAAGGCCTTCAAAACAAGGTACCACGTGACCCCTCTTTGAATTACAAAAAAAAGTTGAAGGTACCCACTTGAAACTAGGTCACGTGACCACAACCGTTTTCATGCCAAATAGTAGTGAAAGAGGTACCTTTTTGCCTGAATTTTACCCGACGACCTTACTAGCTTGTTCCGTTCAAAGATTAAAGGGGGGATACGTCCTCACTGTATATTTTTGGACAAGAAAATCCAGAGCATGGTATTTTTTCTCTCAAAACGTGATTTTCTGATATATTTCCATTGCGAGCTGAGATAGATTTGACAAAATTAGTCTGCATGATGGCTTGCTGACTTCACACTAGTAGGAGTCTAGTCTAGTCATCACCTGGACTATTACTTAAAAATTCATTACTATTTTCTTTCCCTATCTGTAGATTGTTCAACTTATTTTTCTTCCAATTTTAGGCGTATTTATGCAGAATCAGTCTATTGTGAATTTGAAAAAGCAGCAAACACTTTCAGATCAGCTCAGAAAATCATAACAGAATTAGAAAGGTTCAATGCAGTCCCTAATCTAGCTGGGTTGTACTCGAATTTTTCTTTGTTGTATTTTACAAGAAGTGAATATGATGAGGTAGGTATCTGTGTGTCATTCTGTAAGTTATTTTCATTTTATTGACTGCACATTTTTTTCAGGCCTTTTCTTGGTCAGAGAAAGCTTTGAAGCTGCTTACTGATGATTTGCCTCCTAAGTAAGTATTTTGAGCTATCATCAGAATTTGGCTCAAGATTGAAATAGTGTATTCAAGGATATTTCCTCATCTTTCAGGATAATCATAGAAGTTCTGAGACAAGCTTCTAAATCCTGTGTGGTGAAAAGAAAATTTGAACCTGCAGGCTTACTCATAAAACAGGCTGTGAATTTAGCATCTAGTTTATATAAAATAGATAATCATCCCCACTATTCTGACACGTTATTGGATTATGGATTTTACCTTTTGAATTTTGACTCAATACAGGAAAGTGTTACAATTTACGAAAAAGCGTTGAGCATAAGGAAAGAAGTATTTGAGGAAAAGAACATTCATATAGCTCTAGGATTGGAAGACTTGGCTTATGCTCTTTATGTTAATGAATACAGCTCAGGCCGATTTTACAGTGCCAGGTAAGCTAAAGTTCTAACAGAAGAAAATATATTTCATGTAAAAATTGTATTCTTTGTTCAAACTCCAAACCCATACCCAATGCTCAGTTGTGTCATTTTATTCTTTGGTGGACTCTCAATTTGGATAATCCAGTATACACTATTAGGTTTGCATTCTGGAACTTTTCAGAAGATTCTATAATATTCTGGAACATTCTACAATATTATTATGTAGTAGGATAGTATAGGATATAGGATAAAATCCTAACATATTGAACATTCTGAAATATTCTAAATCATTCTAGAGGTCAGGAACAACCTAACCGGTCTGGGAACTATATTCCCAGCTGCTTCACCTATCTTCCAAATGAATAACATTTTCCAACTTTCGTCAGGATTCTACAAGATTCAGTAACTTTCTTGAATATGAAAGATTCTATAATATTCTGGAACATTCTACAATACTATAGAATATCTTAGAAACCCCGAACATTCCGAAACATTCTCTGTTTGGAACATTCTTTGAATGTTCTTGAAGTTCCTACAACAGCAGGAACATTCTGACTAGTTTCGGCATTCCATTCCCATCAGTAGCTTTACCCACATTCAAAAAACGATCATAGAGTATTTTCGAACTTTCTAGATTGTTCTCGAGCTTGCTGGAAGATTTTATGATGTTCTGGAACATTCTGGAATAGGTATTAAAGAATATCAGTAACATACTGGGAAATCTCTGCATCCCATTACCAGTCGTTTCACCTACATCCTTGAAAAAGTTTTTAGAGTATTCTCAAGCCTTCTGGAACATTCTATAACTTTATTGAGGATTCTATAACATTCTGGAACATATAGCAACTGTATCAAACATTGTGGAACATAATAAAACATCCTGCTTGACACAAAGGGATTCTCTGGAAATTCCTAGCTACATTTTGTCCAGTTCAGGCACTTCAATTCCCAGTTGCTTCATCTACCTCACAAGAATAATGAGATTCTAGAGCATTCTCGAACTTTCTGGAACATTTTTTAACTCTGTGGAGATTCTTGAATATTCATGAACATTTTTTAATATTCTACAACATTCTAGGGACATTCTATGATCCTATCTTATGTTTTAGAGACAACGCAGAACGTTCGATACGCATCATGGACCGCATACTGCCCAAAAACCACCTCCTGCTGGCATCCGTGAAGCGTGTCAAGGCGCTCATTCTCGAAGAGATCGCTCTGGACGAACGCATGAACGTCGAACTACAGGTATCAAATTCATGGGTTTATTGCACCGACTCACTACTGCTAGTAGTCATATCGCAGCAACCCGAAAATGTAGGGTCAGTTGCTCGCCTGAAAACGTTTCTGCTCAATACGCAAGAATCCCCAAGCTGCCGTTCATGACTTTGACGTGCTATCGAAATCAACCTAGCATCCATTTTGTTCATAGGTGGCGGCAATGGTGGATGGCGTTGGCTTAAGTGTTTTGTGTGTCATCAGGGGTCGGCTTTATGAAAATAATATCAAAATTGAGTGGTGATATTAATTTTTTCGTTTTATTTTCGCCAATCCTAGGAAATATGAATTACTTTGTTCTTTGGTGTAATGATTCCAAGATTAATAATACCAAAGATGTTCCTTCTCATCGGTGAGTTTCTGGGCAATAAATAATTTATTATTAGGAGTTGCTTTCGTTAGTTGAGCAAGTATTTACATCAAAAGGAATCATGCATGCTTTGTATATTCATTCAGCTGTGAAGGATTTGAGTTGAGGCGTGAGATGCCAAACTTGCTCATTCATTTTAGACGATTTTGGATTAAAAGTTAAATCATTCATTAATGCTTCTAGAATGTCTATAAGAATAAGAGAATTGAATAGTTTGAGACTACTAGGAGACCATTGGACCTTAAGTCACTCAGAAAGGATAATTATTATGTTCAGACCATTTTATGCCAGATCACTTACTGATTTTTCCAGACAAAGCCAGGACATGTATATTCGCCGTTTTTTAAATAAAATTCTCAAATCCGAGTATTTGGAAACTATGAGACCTGAATACGGCAAATTTCATTCGTTTCTCACTACTTTATGTATGGTTTATCAAACTTCCATAGTAGACCCCTCCCAACCCTTTTCCTTCGGCAAGCCTATGCTCCTCGGATTCATGAGTGTCACATGACAGATCCTAAATGCACATGAATCAGTTTCACCAGTTCGGTCTCCTGAGCTCACTTTTTTCACTTTTTTCAATAGATATTCGCGGGAATCAATGTTACCAGGTGGCGCTCGGTTTTCATCGTTCCATGTCAAAGCCACGTCAAAACTGGGGAAAACAAACTCAATCCTCACTCAATCCCATTAGTGCCATTCGCTTGTGTACTATGTACTGATAGGAGTGATGAGTTTTCGAATTCCTTGACATTAATTGTCAATATTCGATCGAAAACGCAAATAATGCCTGTTGTAGATGTTCTTTTGGCAGATATTTTGGTCTATTTAGATGGAAAAAGCCGGCCAGTATTAGAAGGAGAAGCAGTTCTCCGTGCTAATCATGTGGTTTTGTGTGAGGCAGAAGACTTCAACAAAAGGCACATTTTTGCACTTTGTCTACAAACTTCGTCGATGAAATCTTCCCCACATGAAGTAAAATTGAAGTTGGGATCCAGAGGAACTCCTGTAGAACAATGGATTTGTATTTGTTCATGCAAAGCAGGACAATCTGGGTATTGTAAACATGTTGTAGCTGTTCTTTTATATGTCAATTGATTTGCTCGTCATAATAAGTTTGAACTGTTTGAACCATCTCCAATTCTTAACCCGTTCACTGTTCACCAAACTAATGAAAATGTAATAATGTAAAAAAATTAACCGACTCAACCATCACACTACCAACAGTACCAACACTTTATATCATTGACAAGTTTGACTACAGCTACAGCAAGCTGAATGCAATGTAGTCTATGCACTTTATCCATAGACAACAGTTTGTTTTCCCCCAGTTTGAAGTTCGTATTATGTAACCTAGATGTCGCCCACTTCGTGAATCTCGTGATTAATCTTATAATCCACATAAATTGTATCACATATATTATTATGAATAAAAAAATCAAAATTATTATTAGACAAGGTACCTGGAGGAGGCCGAGCAGCTGCACTCGTACGCGCTGGCGCTGTCGCTGCAGGCGTTCGGCGAACGCAACGTGCAGACAGCGAAGCACTACGGCAATTTGGGCAGACTGTACCAGAGCATGAAACGCTACGCGGAGGCCGAGGCGATGCATCTGCAGGTGAGACAAATCGAAGGCGATCCTTATCCCAACTGAATAAGAGTATCCAATCTCGAGATCCTGGGATCCTGGAAGAATTTTCTACCCATAAACTCAGGGATTAAAATATCTTGATACAGAAAATTTCTCTTGAAGATGAAATTGCAGTCTGCTTTGGTCCTTTTTTTCTTTATTCGTGTGTTATTTAGCTTCATCCCTGTAATTTACATAAGTATCTGAAGTAATATTATAAATAGTGAATATGTTAAATACTGTCTGTAGGTTTATCGAGGTGGTGGTACATTCATTCCAAAAAATCTGGAATAAGGAAATATGTGAGTATTGCAATTATGATCCGACTCTCTTCAAAATTGTTATCGGGGTGTTTTCGGGGTCGGAGATTATGATTCTTTTGTCAAAATTTGGAATGAGTTTTGTAAGTAATGTAAGTATACACCGATTCTATTCAAAATTTGTAAATGGGCGTTTTCGGGATAAAAAATTATGATTCCTTTGTCAAAATTCAAGATGGATCCAATAATAATAATAATAATAATAATAATAATAATTTATTCTCTCAAATTACTTCGCACACCAACAGCGTGGTAATACAAATAAAAAAGAGTAAAACGTCAAAAAATACGAAACATTGTTATACATATAACATATAGAATAAAAGAAGTAATTCCCTTCTATATAAACATATGGTACAGGATTACAGATAAAATTCATCTATACTGTAGCAGTTCTTTGACAGAAGAAGTTGTTTCAGTTTTGATTTAAAGATATGTAAATTTCCAGAATTTCTTATGTTATCGGGTAGTTTATTGAAAAGTTTGCAGCCCTGAAACTCAAAACTTCTTTGGTAAAGAGCTGTGCGATGTTGACTTGGTAATAACAAGTGGGCATTTAGGGTAGAATGATTATGATAGGCTCTATTAGCAGCTAATGTATTTCTATTCCGGTAGATATATGTGCAAGCTTCCATTATGTATACTCCAGCTAGCGTTAAAATTTTCAAATTCTGAAAACTTTGTCTACATGAATCTCTATAGCCCAACTTGGCAATGATCCGAATAGCATATTTTTGTATTCAAAAGACCCGAGATACGGTAGAAGATGTGCCCCAGTTCAGAATGCCATATTTAAGATGCGAATTGAAGTTTGCATAGTAGACGGTCAATAGAGTACTTTGGCCACAATGGTTGGAAAGAAACCTAAGAGAATAACAGGATTTTCTAAGTGTATTACATAGGTTGTCAATATGAGTCCTCCATTGAAGTTTGTCATCAAAAACAACACCCAGCATTTTTGTTGAGTTAGTTAGGTTCAGTTCCAAAGCAGTATCAACAAACTGGTTCAACGTATATTGTTGTCCAGTATTCATCTTGAAATGCAACACGTTAGTTTTAGCTTCATTCAGCATTAAATTGTTTTTTCTCGACCACATAATAACTATTTCGTAGGTCTCAAGAGCTACAGCAACAGCGGATTCTATATCGTTTTCAATAATTAATATATTGGTATCATCAGCATAACAAGTACATTGAATGTCCGAGTTCTTATTTAGGTACCCTAACAAGTCATTGGCAAAAGCTAAATACAAGAAGGGTCCCAAAATGGATCCCTGTGGTACTCCATCCTCAATATTTCTTTCAGTACTTAGACTTTTCCCAACTTTGACTACTTGTCTTCTCTTATTCAAGTATGAGTTTAGTAAAGATAGAGGTATTCCTCTTACACCGTATCTTGAGAGTTTGTCGAGCAGAAGATCATGGTTAACACAGTCGAAAGCCCGTGAGAAGTCAATAAATAATCCTAAAACACATTTCTTTTTGTCTAGAGCACTTACTATTCGATTTTGATATTCACACAGTGCCGTATCAGTGCTTTTTTTCTTAGTGAAATATACTGCGGACGAGTTTTGTAATTATGTTTCGATTCTATTCAAACTTCTCATCTGGGGTTTTAGGAGTCGGATATTATGACTCTTTCGTCAAAATCGAGAAATTCAAGTGAACTAAAAAGAAGTTGAAATAAATGGTAGTTTGAAAACCTACAGAAACACGCTTTTATAGATAGCGAAACTAAAAAGAACTGGAAAATAAAATAGTAATAGTGTCTTGATGAATATTGAACTGAAGAAATAATATTGAAATAATGTATATAGCAAAACAACGTTTGCTAGTTAGTTATAAACAGATATGTTTCTTGGGGTAATAAAGACAATCAATTGCAGGCGATCGCGATCAAAGAGGAACTGCTGGGCGCCGACGACTACGAGGTCGGTCTCAGCACCGGCCACCTCGCCTCCCTCTACAACTACCACATGAAACGACACCGCGACGCCGAGCGGCTGTACTTGCGCTCTATCGACATCAACGTGAAGCTGTTCGGCGCCGCGTATTCAGGGCTGGAGTACGACTACCGCGGATTGGTCAACGTGTACACGAAGCTGATCGACGTGCCCAAGATGGCGGTGTACACGGGCAAGATGCGCGAGTGGAAGGCGCTGAGGGAGAGGGTGGGGAGGCAGGACAGCGAGGGACAGCTGGCGCCATTGAGACAGGTGAGGATCTCGGGCTAAATAACTATAGATTGACACTGCAATTCATTCATAAATCATTTAAAGGTGTACGTCGACAATCCTGAACGCTAAACACGGATACGTGCATGAAATCGCGAATGGTGGGGATAATAACTGTCATTTGTATATTTGCGGGTGATTGCTCCGACTATATAACAACACCGCAATTCATCCTTAATTCATTAAAATGTATACGCCAATACTCCTAAAAGCCAAACACGGGTAAATGAATAAAATCGTGAATGGTGGGGATACCTTTGCGGAATCTGTCAGAGAATTGGTATTCTTTATAGATATATTACAAATATCTGATAAATCGGGATTTCTATAGATGTGTGTATGTTCATCGATTAATCAAATCTCAGGTGTTGCAACATGATATTACATCATTTTGATACGTGTTATGGAGAAGATTAGATATTTTCAATATTTCAAACACGCCTTTCATCAACAAACAAGATCGCCAATTGTAACTATTTTTTTCTCCACAGATTTGACACTACCGAACTATATTCATTAATAAAATAGTCTGCTTTAGGTTTATAATATCAAATGAGTAAATGAAACACCGAAAACTGATCACACAACAGTCTGATACCATTAATAACAACAAAAACGACAAAATACATTTCTTACAACGATTATTACTTGTCTACTACAAAACTTTGCAGTGCCGCCGCGTTCATCTTTAGATAATTCCTATTCTTCATTTTGTTAGAAGTGTATCATTTTGTTGTGAAGGTTGTTTTATTTTTCGTCATGAGCTATGCAGGCCGAGTTCATGTTTTATCCGAAAAATCTTCTTGAATTATCGATTTGGCAGCGGTTCCACAGAGTTCCTCAGAATGTGATGTTTTTTGCGACGAGGAAATGAGCAAGATAAATCATACTCCTTGACTAGTTACTCTGAGGGTAAGCATCCCACTACTTGAATGTTGTTGATATGAATTAAAAAGGTAGTAGTCGAGTAGAAGTTATTTTGGATCTGCCACAAAACAGCGCGTTACAATACAATACAATACTGCAACAACAAAGCTCGATAACAAAAATGTATGTCACGAAATGGCGTCATTATAGTATCTTTCCTCGCACATTATGATTCCTCTTCGTGATGTCAAGATGTGTCTTGTTTGTTTCCATCCCATGATTGTTTAGTTCAGATACTTGTATACGTTTTTTTTGCTAAATGAAGAATTATTATTATCAATCGACCTAGAAATATCGCAGGCCCTGATTAAGAGTTCTGACCGCCCTAGGCTAATTTTATTATGAGGACGCGCCCCCGCCATGAGTATTAGGGTCGGCCTAAAGTAGTATATTTAGTCTTGACTTTGTTTACTAGTATAAAAATTTTGACATGGTTCATACTACCTATAAAAGTTTTCGACTTGAAGTATTATTTATATATTTACATTTCTGTAATCTTAAAGACGAGAGGCACCATACAAGTGAAACAATTCTGCAACTGATTAATGTTTTATTTGAAAATCAATAAAATCATAATAATTGAGTAATTATTATTTGCTTATAATGAGGTCTTTTTTCTTGCTTCAGCGTTTGCAGATCTTTCCACAATTTTTTCAAATTCGATAGTTTGAAGAATATCACTTTCTATGTATGTACATTAGAGAGAGCGCTGCAAGCTTTTGCTGGCGGAGTGTGGAGCGTAAGTAATTTTTCCTCCGATTGGCAGCAAATATTGATTTTGCTGACACATATCGATCAGCAAAGTATTACTTTTCCTGCCTAGGCAGCAAAGTGGGTACTTTGCTGCCTAGGCAGCAAAGTGGTTACTTTGCTGATTGATATGTATCAGCAAAATTAAAAATCCATAAATCGTTTATAATTTCCTTCATATTCCATCCGAGACTTCTCCGGCAACAAATTCAACTCTATATTTTTTGCCACCTCCCTTATTAATGGAGGTGTAAGTATACTTCCAGGTCGCTATCACTGTCCATTATATAATGTTTCAAATATACCGATATTTTTTCGCACAACTGTCAGAAATTTCATGAATTGTCAAACCAACAACTGCGATTTCTATCAAATTTTATTTTAATTGAACACTATACAGGAAGAATGAAGAGATTGTGGGAATTGTATTAATTCGCAAATACAATATTCTCCCATATCATTATGAACAATCGGAGAAAAAATTATATGTTCAACTCGGCAGCAAAGTAGATTGACTGCCTTAGCTGGATTCCTAGCCTCGCTACGCTCGGCTATGAATTCAGCCACGGCAGTCAATCTACTACTTTGCTGCCTAGTTAAACAAATAACTATTGTACTCTCTTCAGTGCTGAAAAAGACCTTTCGCCGCTGCAGTTGGTAACACTCATTGTCAAAGTAATTCTTAATATTATCTCCACATTCGGGAACATGCTTAAAATATTAAAACTTTTTATAAACTGCAACAAACCCTTTGGGGTTCTGGCAGAAAGAGAACGCTCGACCTCGGTGTCAGATTTTGAAAACTGCGCCAAATGGACGCATCCTTCTGCAATGGTTTCTTCTAAATCAGTAGCGTATAGTTGTTTCAACTCCTTTGCTCTGCTTCTAATAAATTCACTGTCGTCTAGTTCATGCAGTTTCCATAAGAAACCAAACTTTGTGTTTACTGTATTATGAATAATTTGCCGGTTTTTTATATGCACTTCAAGACAATCAATAGCTGCATAATAATTATCAACGATGAAAGATCGTCTCCTTTCTAACTCAATGTGCCCCGTTTTAACTTCATCAAAATGAAATTTTTGTTTCTTTCTTCTTCTTACGCGCGCTTTTCAAAATTTCAAAATTCATTGTTAAAATCAGGGACTATCAAGCGCATTTCGTTTTATTGTTTTGTCTCGGTCTAGTTGAAATATGTAGGGTAGATGCAATGATGCTAGATTAGTGCATGCGAAGACACGATTTTAGCGCGTCTTGCGCGCCCCCCCCCCCCCCCGATCTTCGCGCCCTAGGCTGCAGCCTAATCAGCCTAATGGTTAATCAGGCCCTGGAAATATGAAAGTAAAGGGGTGGGGTGGAGCAAATTGTAACACGCTCTATAAAAGGGTGTTTTCTAGTTTCTCAAACTACCATTTATTTCAAATGCCCTCTTCGTGATATTTCCATAAAAATTGTGATGATTTTGTTTCCACAGGTGGTCGATGAGTTCTTCAAGATGTGCGAATGAAGAGACACAGGACGGGTGTTCTAGTCACTGGTGAGACGACGATTCTATGATTTGGTGAGCTTGTGTTCGATAATGAGGTTACATGTACGTTGAAACAAAAAAGGACTGTCGGGCTCTATAGACTCGGAATGGCCGAACGAATTTCGATCCCCCAATGATGAAGCAAAAAATACTATCGCCAACAATGAACTTCAGCAAATTGAACTCTTTTCTACCTCAAACGAGAGAGTGGAAAGTTGTCTCCTCTTCCATATTTCTCTTCAGTGCTACCAACGAGGCCGCATTGAATTATCCGTTGAATCTTTCCTTGTCTAACGTCTACTCTGCGTCACTGAACTATTTTCGATGTTTTAATTATTTGACATGTCTATTTCTTAAATGTCATTGACTGATAACTTTTCGAATGATTTAAATGAAATTTCGAATTACAGTGTGTCCCACTTACCATGCTCACCATGGGTATCTTTTTAACGGTGAGAGATACGAGGTCGGTTAAATTACACCAAATGTGGAGTTTGTCAAGGCCAACTATAATGTGAAAAAATATTTTGATAAAATCTATTCGTTTTTGTTTTATACGCAAAAAACAGATTTTGATCATTTTCATGTCTCCTACGTAACTTCTTTATTTATGAAAATATTCAAATAGGAATCTCACATTCTCATGGCAGTTTTTCAAAGTGATTCCGAAAAAAATATGAAATTAATACCAACTATTCTAGAATTTGAGATATCAGCACCAACTTTAGTTTTTCAAATGTAGGTCATAGCGCACTATGACTTAGTTACAAATAACTTTTTTTTCTCTTACAGATGATATGTCGCAGTAATAGTTTTGTGTTGATAACAACGGAGTTACCGTCATTTATACAAAAACCAAAAATTTATTTGGAAGCCGCCATCTTGAATTTATAAATTTCAACAAAAAAATCATGATCTCCGACCTCAAAAACCCCCACATACCAATTTTGAATGGAATCGGACCAAATCTTGTCCGCCATCTTGGAGCAGCAATTTTTTTTAATTTCAACAAAAATTCCATAATGTATTGTCACCGGAATTTTGAACACCTGTCAAATTTCAAGTCAATCGGAGTTATGGAATTTTTGTTGAAATTAAAAAAATGGCTGCTCCAAGATGGCGGACAAGATTTGGTCCGATTCCATTCAAAATTGGTATGTGGGGGTTTTTGAGGTCGGAGATCATGATTTTTTTGTTGAAATTTATAAATTCAAGATGGCGGCTTCCAAATAATTTTTTGTATAAATGACGGTAACTCCGTTGTTATCAACACAAAACTATTACTGCGACATATCATCTGTAAGAGAAAAAAAAGTTATTTGTAACTAAGTCATAGTGAGCTATGACCTACATTTGAAAAACTAAAGTTGGTGCTGATATCTCAAATTCTAGAATAGTTGGTATAAATTTCATATTTTTTGCGGAATCACCTTGAAAAACTGCCATGAGAATGTGAGATTCCTATTTGAATATTTTCATAAATAAAGAAGTTATGGAAGAGACATGAGAATGATCAAAATCTGTTTTTTGCGTATAAAACAAAAACGAATAGATTTTATCGAAATATTTTTTACATTATAGTTGGCCTTGACAAACTCCACATTTGGTGTCATTTAACCGAGCTCGTATCTCTCACCGTTAAAAAGATACCCATGGTGAGCTTGGTAAGTGGGACACACTGTATATCATACTCATTTCGACGTCATTTGTTAATATCATTAAATTTGACTCTCTGCTGAATTCGAAAATATTTCATTGGCACAAACTAGATGTTAGACAAGGACAGATTTATCGGACCTCTCTATATTTCAATGCAGCTACGTTGGTATCACTGAAGAGAAAGATGGAAGAGGAGAGAACTTTCCCCTCTCTCAGTCAAGACAGAAAAGACCGCAATTGAACTATTGTGTATAATATAGAGTGTTCCAGGACAATCATGATAAAATCTACTAAAAAAATGTTCTATTTATATTTTCAAATCTTTTACTCCATACTGTGCGACGTACGGAGCGAGAAACAGTGCATTGTTGACATATGTTGTCACAACCAAGTGAATTTTATTGTTTTCCTGTACTGTGAAAAAATATCGTTTTGTATTTTTTGTCGATAGGGGTGTTACCTTTTCCTCGAATATCCCTTCGTAAACTCAGGAAATTGACATTTCGTTTGCAATCTTAACTGCGGCGATTGGAAGCACAAACGAAACGTCATTTTCGATACGAAGAATAAAGGCAAATTATTACCAGAACCTATACATACAGGGTGTTCTGGTGATCATGTTACAAACTTCTAGGGTAGATAAAACACACGAAAATAAGAAAAAAAGTTCATGTGAACATGGGTCCGGAAACGCTTCTTCAGGGAGCTAGGGCCCTTCGAAGATGACCTTCAAAAACTACTTTTCGTTTTATAGCTTCGGTACTACTGCAGCTATCGCAACCAATTTTGGGACATGAAATCTAGTTCGTAGGTTCATCAATTTGAGCCTTCCGGATTTTGTCACCTTTAACCAGGGGCGTACAAACCAGGGGGGTATTTGGGTAAATTTGACCCTACTCCTCTTAGGCTTCAATTTCTTGCCATTTTTATATCTGATTATGATTCTCCAATGCCTTTTACATAAAAAAGGTACTTTTTAAAAATCGCTATCTGTCACCGTTTCCTCCAAAAATGACTAAATCCAATCAATAATAAATTATTGGTCTTACACCAATTATTACGTTGAAATATGAAAATGAGGTTCAGTACAGATAGTGAGCATTATTAGTTAGTCAAATCTTCTTCTTTAATGAAAATAAATTAGATTAGAGAAATTTATTGCCTTTTCGAAATTGGGGGTATAAAAAGTAAAAGGGAACGTATACAAAATATTTCCAAAAAAAAACAATTAAACCTACACAAGCAAAACTAATAATAAATTTGCAATAAATCATTCACGAGCACCAATGAAAAACTTAAAGTTTTGAAGTTTCAAAAGTACAAGATAAACAAGTAACACAAACAGGTTCAACGAGTGAGTCAAGGATAAGGCAGAGTGAATTTTTGTCTTGTTTTTTTTTTTTTATATTTTGTATGCGTTCCCTTTCACTTTTTATACCCCCAATTTGGAGAAGGCAATAAGTTTCTCTAATCTAATTTATTTTCATTAAAGAAGAAGATTTGACTAACTAATAATGCTCACTATCTGTACTGAACCTCATTTTCATATTTCAACGTAATAATTGGTTTAAGACCAATTATTTATTATTGATTGGATTTAGCCATTTTCGGAGGAAACGGTGACAGATAGCGATTTTTACAAAAGTACCTTTTTTATGTAAAATGCATTGGAGAATCATAATCAGATATAAAAATGGCAAAAAATTGAAGCCTAAGAGGAGTAGGGTCAAATTTACCCAAATACCCCCCTGGTTTGTACGCCCCTGGTTAAAGGTGACAAAATCCGGAAGGCTCAAATTGATGAACCTACGAACTAGATTTCATGTCCCAAAATTGGTTGCGATAGCTGCAGTAGTATCGAAGCTATAAAACGAAAAGTAGTTTTTGAAGGTCATCTTCGAAGGGCCCTAGCTCCCTGAAGAAGCGTTTCCGGACCCATGTTCACATAAACTTTTTTTCTTATTTTCGTGTGTTTTATGTACCCTAGAAGTTTGTAACATGATCACCGGAACACCCTGTATACGGAGAAGTGCACAAAAAACGGCCAGGACTGTAACTTTTGAATTAGTTGAGATCGGGTTTTGAAAATTGGTGGGCAGCTAGTATACCAAATTGCTCATTAATTGACGAAACAATTTTTGTTCTATCACTTCCGGTTTTACTGGAAACGACCCCAACTTTCGATTTTTAAATGGGACACCCTAACCTGTATTGGTAGGGATTGTCATATCAAATTCATCGATACCGGGTTTGATAGGTTTATTCCAAACGATTACGCAGATACTCGCGTTCTAAGTTTCCATATGCTCAATGAGTGTGACAGAGAAAGAAGTTTTGATATTGCGAAGTCACACCCATTGAGCAATATATGGAAACTTATAACGCAAAAATCTTTGTAACCGTTTGAATTAAACCTATCAAACCCGGTATCGTTGAATTCGTCATGATAATCCCTAACCGATTATGGAATACAATACAGGGTGTCCCATTTAGAAATCAAAAGTTGGGGTCGTTTCCAGTGAAATTGGAAGTGATTGAAGAAAAATTATTTCATCAATTAATGAGCAATTTGGTATACTTGCTACCCAACATTGAAAACCCTATCTAGAATAATTCAAAAGTTATAATCCTGGCCTTTTTTTGTGCACATCTCTGTATGAATATTTTCTATTAGAATCTCCCAAACAGAATAATCACTTCTTGTTAACCTCCTCCTATGTGTTTTTCACCTTCTTAAAATATTGACACACTGTATATTCTGATTAGCAGTCGAATAAGTTTTCATTTCAGTTTTTTTTCACTTTTTTTTTGAGTTTTTCACAAAATATTTTGGCATTCTTATTTTCCTGAATCCTTTTATTTTCTCTATATTTCTTGCTATGATGTTGGGGTAGCATACTTGTTGTTGATACATAGATATACACTACATATTGTTTTCATCTTAGTAGTTATATCACAGAAATGTTCCAAACACCTTATGTGAATGTTTCTTTTGTCTAATAATTGAAAATTATATGCTATTATAAAAATAGATTTAAAAAATATAGAGTAGTATGATAGACTAGAGGCTGATTCCTAGATTACATAACTTGAACGTAAATCAACAAATTGATAACAGACTTTACAATAAATTGTTCCTTATGGATTTTTATTTTATACTATTATACTCTTATTGCGTAAATAATGGTAAAATATAGTGATTCCCAAAAGCAGAAATAACAAATTAATTTCATTCTATTTATGTTCATGATTTTAAGTTATGTTTTTGTTATGATTGGTTTATTATGTTTGCATTATATTAATCTATAAATGAGCCTCGATCTTTTTTATCAATTCAGATTTCAGATTTAACAAATTTTAGTTTACATGACTGTAAATATTTTAACTACTGGTAGTTCGAATAATAGTATTTATAAAATGTAACCATATATTTTATGCATAATAAAAATGTATGTGAGATCGTTTATAACAATAAATATATTTGAAAATCTCAGAATTAATTCTCTATACATGGTTTCCTGAGGTGAGTGTGATTTTTATTTCAATTCACTTATAATCCCCAAAAGTAAAAAAAAATGAAGGCTATTACTAGAATAACATTAATCACTAATAGTATAGTGTCACTCCAAGCAGTGAAAGAAGGAATCATTAATTTCATCACAATTCTAATGAACTGATTTTTTCCAAATTTCTATAATTGCACTGTTACTATCAATAACTATTATATGCTTAAGCTGTGTTATATGTATATGTTATATAGATACTAATTTTCAGTTATAGTTTAGTTATAATTTTTTAATTAATATACTGATGAATTTGTTTCCAGATGAATAAACGGTTTCCTTCACCTTGATTTAGTGAATGTAGTCGTAGAAAAAGTATAGTACACACCTCGAGTTGGAACGCAGCTGTGCCAATAGCAGTTCAACTAGCGTTGAGAGAGAAAAAGAGTTTCTCATCTGTCCTTGTCATCCGTGTTCAAACATAAAATAATGAAAATTTTATGTTGGCAACACTAGAAACGAGAAGAAATGAAGTAGACCATCTAACCTTTTTTATATTGAGGTTAATTGGAACACTGAAGACAGAGACAGATGAGGATGACATTTTTTTCTCTATCACGAGAGCCTGAAGTTTTCGAATCATTCCCAAAGAATCACGTGATACACTATGGACGCATGCGCTCGTAGAAAAACAGAGTATCGAGAGGAAGGAAAAACATCTTGAAAGCCTAAAATTACTAAACAAATGATCACAGTGGACCGACGCCATGCTATTAGAGGACCAGAATAAAGATCTGGCCAAACTATCAGCTTCCACAATTTTATTGCGAAAAATAATCATAAAAAAACACGAATCGCAACATATCACATGATGGGAATGGTTCGAAAGATTTAGGTACTTTTGAAGCTAAAAATATGAAGCTACCTACCTGGTACATCATGAGGCAAGATGCGCATGCGCAAATAAAATGAGTATTTGTTTTATGGGTTCATAGGCCATGACCACGATGGAAATAGACTATCCACCTTTGTCATGACATCTTAGTCATGACAATGATGGAAGTAAGATATGGTGCGCGCATTCGGCCATTATTACGTATTGAAAATTTCAGAAAAATCACTCGACCGCCTACTATGATTTCTCCACGTCACAACGAGCGAGACGTTGATTCTACATTTTCCCGCTAGATGGTGATGCTGCTATTGCACGAGTGCAAATAAAATGGCATTTTAGGTACGCGGAACATATTTAACAGTGGGATTATTCAACTATCAATTCGAAAAATTTGCGACAATTTCAAAACTGACAGATGTCATAATTGTTTAATGTCGCCATCTATTAGAAGATCGACGGAACCATTGCTCTCGCTGTTGTCGAGAGGTGGAGTAAAATTTCTGAAACCAAAGCGCATCAGTAATTACACCATATCTTACTTCCATCATTGTCATGACCAAGTCATGACATAGTCTTAACTAATGATGTGCTCATATGAGTCGTGATCATGAGTCATCACCATGACCTGTTGTTTTTGTTTATGGCCAGAAGTCCTGCTGTGTCCCATATACCACCCAGTAACTCTAATGGGCAGTATTCCGTTCATCTACGGATATCACCTTATAATATGCATATGGATAGTCATGTCTTCAGAAACACGGCTTCCTTGACCAAGCGATGCTAGACTAGAAGGCTAGGATACTACTGATATGACTTTCCAATTATTTTTTTATGTTTACATGTCAGTTGAGTTTTTTGACACATTGTTCAAGATTAAAGATATTCTGAACAGAAACAAATTTTCAGTGGAAAATGGACGAGAAAACTAAGGCAGATATTTATGATGAAGAGTTCTTCAATAACTTGCAAATGGCAAAAACCCTAATTAGTCAAATAAGAAGCAGACGCGGTAAGATAAACAAATTAAATTTTTATAGTTCATGGATGAAGGGGTAGGCAGAGATCTAGAAGAAATAAAATATATATGATTTTTAGGTTTTTTATTTTCAATTTTACACTGCATAACTAACAAAATATTCATTATATACTAATGAAAATTTGTTTTGTTACATACAACTTGCAATAATAGTAGCTCAACAAAAATAAAATATATTCTATTGATATATGAGCTACATTTACAAACATCTTTGATTAAAAAAATATTTGCAAAGGAAAAATTACAATTTTATAAATTATGATAACAATGTGTCAAAACCAAAAGGAATACCTATCATGAGATATTTTTCAGTTGAAAATAACTACAGTTCATTTCAGACAAAGAAATTTGTAAAAAGTGGATCCAAAAATTGTGTGGTTTGAAGTCCGACGATGCAGTTGTGAAAAAAAACCGAAACAGTTTTTTCAAATATATGCTTCAAATTGTGAACAAGGCAGCCCAAAAGGATTCACTATCTCCACAGTATGATAAAAAGGTTTGTATAATTCTTAAACCTGTAAAAAAATTATAATTTGTAAAATTGACACATAAAATTTGTTGCAAAGTATTTCATGATGAAAAAACCTTGTATATCATTGTGGTACATTCGTTTAGAGGCCCTGCAGTATAGTCAGTTGTAGTTAATTCCAGGTCAATTGTCTTTAAATAATTGAAAACTATTGATGCATGCCCAATATTATGGATACTTCTTCATTTCTATATTTTTTTCTATAATGAGCTTTTGATTTTTGTCAATTTAACCATTGTCCTTCTGAATGAAAATACTAGCCCAGGTGTATTGTCCGTTCACTGATCTAAAATATCTCTTAGTTATAGAGATAGAGATTTTTTCTTAACAGGGATAAGTAAAATATCCTAGGGTAGGCTGAGGAATAATTAACTTAGTAGTTTGAAATAGAGGTCAATGACTTATTGAAAATATCGTGGATAAGGGCGATTTTTCCATATTTTTTTCCAATGAAAATTTTATAGTTTATCTTGCCTACTTGGTCTTTAGTATATGAATCAAAATAGGTTTGTTCTCCTTCTTTAATAAACAGTCCAAAACCATCAGGAGCATTGGCAGTTTCACAGAACTTTTAGCATTATTCATGTTCTGTGGAAGTGCACATGCTTTGGATGGTTTTGGACTCTATTTTTTGAAGGAGAACCAACTTTATGTTAAAGCTTTGAATAGATAGAACAGTAAAGGTGCATTCATGCAACATAGACTGAATTATAATGAATTCAAGATTTAAACGAATTTCAAATTAAGAATATATGGGTTCAGCTGTTTAATCTTCTTCCAGCACAGCTAGTTATTATTTGGCGCATGCGCTGTTGTGAATTATGGAAGAAATTAATTTCTTAGTTTCTTGCATGAGCACCTACATTACATTCTATAGTTTCATATTATTGGTTCAAGTCTAAAATTGATTCAAGTTTCAAATTTTGCTTGCATGAATCCACCAAGAAATTAGCTGTCAGACATAAGGTATGATACATATTTTAGACCTAGAAATTTCCCATAGAATCCATATTTTCAAAAGCAAAAAAGGTTTTCTATTTGAAATATCACCCTACAAAAATATCACCAGCTATCAAGTAATATCCTGGCCATACTTTAAGAGCCATTCAATTCTTGCCAGCCAAGATCATCATCTGATGTTATGATGGCATAAAAACTATGGGAAAACATGTCAGTTTTCATGTCATCACAACAACAGATGATGACCTTGGCTACCGCAAATCTCTTTGACTTTGGCGTTGATATTCTCAGGGAAATGAAGATGATGAATTGCACTTTATGAGCAAATGGTCGGCTGATAATCGGACATACATAGCTGTCAAACCTCTGCCAGGACAGGGTGCTCTAGTGTACATGGCAGTTTCATCAGATCCCAAACTTGGATGGAACCATCAATAATTATTTTTTGCAGGTACAATCATTTTATTGGTTTTTGAAAAAAATTATACCTTCTGTGAAATTCAATACTTTTTGTACCAATTGAAGTCATTAAAAGGGGTTATGAGTTGAATAATACTGTTGTTTACAAATAGTGTTCATAATATTTGTTGTAAAATAAAAGGTATGTTGATCTATTTTTTTCTAATGAAATCTGATAAATGAAGGATTCAACCTTCATTAATGCTTAATTGTGAAAATGTATTGATATTGAAAGGATAAAATATTAGGATATAAATATTGCAGTAGTGTATAGGCATGTGTGAGTTTTTACACTCAGATATAGTGTTTTTGGATAACTTATGTTTTTCATATGTCTCATCATATCATGAACTGAATATTTATTTTTTATGATAATAATAAATGTTTTTATTGGACAAACACTATATGAGTTGATATATACAGGTTGAACACTTAATAAATGCCTGCCAAATGGCAGAGTTCAAATTGCCTGTGAAGACAGCAATTTGCTCTTCCACTCAACCAGTAAAAACTCATTCATATGCATTTAAGTCAATATGAATGAGTTCAAATATATATTTAAAAATAACTAACTACTAGAATCTAATAATAATTTAATGATACAAGCATAATAGTCTGAAAAATCATTATGTTTAGAACAGAAGGAAGAAAGATGAAAGTAGAAAAAAAAAGAGAATATATATACATATTTATGAACTATAGTCCTATATTAGAGATATTTTCATAGATCAGTTGTGAACAGATATTGACAGAGAACTATATCAAGGAAATGAAATTCTCCCTGATATCAAACAATTTTTCAGCCTCTGTTTGAGAACAAAAACAGATACACTTTTAAACTCCTCTGGAAGCCAGTTGTATAGCCTGGTCAAATGAAAACTGAAAGATCCTTCATAGAAAATTGACCTTTGCTGTGGAGGAGTGATGCACGATTTGTGTCTAATATTGAGGTTGTGAACATCCGTTCTGGATCTGATTTTATTGTATAAATATGGTGGATTTCTCGAAATTATGATTTTGTGAAAAAGAATGCAAGCATGCACTAAGGGCCTTTCTTCCATATTCAACCAACCCAGACTTCTTAATGGAATTTAAATTACCTCAAAGTTTCAGCCCACCTGATATTGAATCCGTTTTTTAAAAAAATCTGTTAGAATTTAATTTTGATTAATATAAAAGTTGTGCATGTTCCATATCAAATTCATAACCAGTTACCATAATTTTAGATTGATCTTGAATCTTTTTTTGCATTCTCAGCTTCCTTGATATTTCTCAACCTCATCTCATACAAATTAGTTGTACTAAATGAATCCAAAATGAACAGAACATATCAAATTTTGTGGCACATGTGATTTTTTTGGGGTGGTTCAAGGTCAAATGCTTTTAGACTGAAATTTTCAATTTCAATGACAGGAACTCAACTTCACTCAGTTTTTACCATCAAATTTGGTATTTCCAACCAATCTAGCATAATTTCAATGAATGTTATCAGGATTTTTCACACAAAACAGAGCTCATATAGTGTGCATTTAGGATATTATTATTATTATATTATTGAGATGGGACAAGCATATAGAGGTTCTGATACAAAAAATATCTCCGATTATTGGAGCTTTGCAAAGATGTCCTAAACTTGACAAATAAGTCATAAACATAGTACTTCATTCTCATATACTCAGTCATATTACCTATATGATAAACATTTGGGGATCTTGTTCAAAAAATTATTTCAGTAAAATATCTGCACTTTATAAGAAAGCACTGAAAGTATTGTATTGCCTCTCATTTGATATCCCAACAAATGATCTGTATGCCATAACAGAAAAATTTTCATTAGATGAATTATATAAAATAGATTCTCTTAAAGTTTCATATAATATAATAAACAATAATCTGAAATCCAATTTTATTTTGATAAAAAACTCAGGAATTCATGGTCATCACATGAGACAATCAAACTTATTTCATCTTGATTCTACTACTTCTATAATTGGCCAAAAAAAATTTACTCATGCCTAGCTGAATTTAATAAATTACCACATGATATAAAAAATTGCACATATTTCAAAAAAACACATGATTTTATTATGAAATGGATAAAATCTATACTTTGCCTTCTAGTGATTAGTCCCTGTGGCTATTTTTATGACTTGATCGATTTAGCATTTTTAGATTTTTTAATTTTTTTTTTGTTGTCACCTTATATTATTTTATTATTGTTGTTTGTAATCAACTTCCTCGTACCAGAATTTTATTTCTGACTGGAAGCTAGTTTCTCAATAAACAATAAACAATTATTGGTTGAATAATAATGAGTGAATCATATTTGCAATGACCAACAAGCTACTAACTGAATGAGTGTGTGAACTTACCTAGATTTTTATTTACAGAACAATAACACTGGCTGTTATTATCAACGTCTCTTCCTTCCACCACCACTTTTTCCTTTTCTTTGACCTTTTCCACCTTTTGGCTTTTTGGCATTTGCTTTACCTCTATTGTTTGAACTTTTCCTTCCAGAAGTTTGCTTTTCTTGTGATTGCCTATAAAGAATTATTGTGCAATAGTGGATTAACTGAGTGACTGATTCACATTCATTATCATTATCTTCACTGGTCCCATTTTATTTTACTATTTTTGAGTAGCTGACAAATATCAACTTTTGGTTTCAAAATAATGTAGGAGTCTGAACCAAACTTGTCAAAATATCAACTTCTCTCATTCACATGACACTTTCAATAATTAAAGAAATAATATAATGAATATAACTTACTCTTGTTCTTCACTCCTTATATGCCTAGCCACAGCTTTCTCAATATTCAATTTGGGTTTTTTGTTCAAAATAGATTCCACAATAGCTAAATTTTCACTTTTTTCCTGAGTTCCAGATACAGGAGGCATTTTTCTCTTACGGCTAGCTCCTGGTGTGATTGCAGCCACTCCTCTTGCTTCTTTCTCTTTAGGCAGCTTGTCTTGAAATTTGCCTAAACTGGCTGTTGATGCCTTGGCCACCGTAACAGCAGTTTGTAACTGAAATGAAATTGTACATTGTTCTTCTAATTTGAAATGCAACTTATAGAAACAGAACAAAAGCAAAACTTAGGAATGAAAAATATTCACATACATCTTTAGCTGAGGATACATCTGGGTTCATCACTCCAACACGAGGCACCTTGACTTTCTTTGCCTTTGCAATATTCCTTAACCTCTGCAGTTCATTTTTGGATACACGTTCACTCTTGGCTTGAATTTTCTTGGCAAATTGATCTTCCATGGGATCAGCATTCCCAGGAACTTCTAGTACCCAATCCTTCTCAATTTCTGCTTTGGCTTTTTTGAAGCCATACAATGGAACCCACTTTTTCAATTGTTCATCCCAAGACAATTTACTCTTTTTCTTTTTCTGGATACCTTTTTCCTTGGCAAACTGTTGCCATTTCGTGAGTGGTCTTGGTCTAGGCACTGGTTTCATGCGAGGTAACACAGTTTTCTGGGGTGGAAGTTTCACTACAATAGCTTCTTCAACTCGTTCAGTAGGTAGTTCCCATATCTGATTGAGCAATAACTGTGTATTATCTCTAGCCAAATCTAGTAAATAGTCGTTCTTCCGTTGACTGAAAAGAAAAATAATGCTCTAAGAAATAACCATGATCATGGAAGGGCAACAACAACATACCTCAAAAGTTTTAGATCAAAATCGTTATTATCAATAGCCAGAAGTGTTCCCAAGTCGTATTCCAGTTCAAGATTTTTCTCTACTGAAATAGATTTGAATTTTTCAGCCTCCAGGGCTGAATTTTCTAAAATCTTGTTCACAACGTCCATGTTGTTTTTTGATATAATGAAATAAACTTTAACCTAACTTTTAGTGACGAATACACGTGAAAATGCAACATGAAATGAAGAAAGTCCCCAAATTGAGAGAGAGGTCATCAATCAGTTACACCAACCAATGACGGCGAAATATCTAGACTGTCAGACAGTCTAAATATTTAGCAGTCATTGCACCAACGGTACAGTGATTACTTCTTGAAAGGTGTTTTGTGCACATAATAGACTAAATAGACCTGTCAGTTCGTGCTTGCTCTACCTGCTGATCTTTATTTTTTTCTATGACTTTCTCTGTTTACATCTTGTCCTGAACAGAAACAACAAACAACAATGGAAAAAAAACAACTTTAGCAAGTTCAGCAATACTAGCAAATTCAGCAATATAAAACAAGATTGATGCTCCCGTCACAGTAAATCTATATTAGTACTAAATGAGTTTCGACTTTAATATAATATTCGACTTGGTGATGACGGCTAAATATTTAGACCGTTGTTGACAGGTTATACAATATGTTGTTGGGGATACTTCCTCAGGCAATGAATTCCAGAGCCTAGCCGTTCTATGGATGAAGGAGTTTTGATACAGTTCTGTTCGACATCTTTCGAGGTCGACAACGAAAAGATGTGCAGACTGGGATTGTCTAGTTTGTCTTACTGGTATTGCTAGTGAAGGGATGATAGCAGAGATTGCCGAAGCACATTTCCCGTGGAAGTATCGATAGAAAAGTGAAAGGTCGCCGACCTTTCTACGGCGTTCCAATGATGTCAAAGAGTGAGTGAGTGTGGCGTCACCCACCAGGCGGATGGCTTTTCTCTGGATGGAATCTAAGAGTATCAGCGTATGTTTTGGTGCTGAACCCCCATATGTGGGAACAGTATTCTAGAACAGGCCGTATCTGCGCTTTGTAGATCATGAGAAGACATTAAAATGTCGGGCATACTGAGTTCCGCCTTTCTAGAGAAAATACAGGCTTGAGTTTTGGTGGCGTTGAATTCAACTAGGTTGTTGGTTCCCCAGGCTGATTTCAGCAAGGTCTTCATTGACAGCATTGACCTGCCTGCGGCGTGAGCTCTTAGTGAGTGAAATTATTTCATTTATTTTCGTCCCTTTGGCTGCTTGAATTTGTGAATAAAAACCATTGTCTGCTAAATATGGAGAAAAAATTTTTTTTCTCTATTTAGCAGACAATGATAAAAACTATGCAAGCACTTCGGGGGCGGCAAAATTGAATTAAGCTGAAATCCAGTACTAAATTTCCAGTTCTAGTACTTTTTCGAAATGTGATCCAGTACTATATATTTTCGGTCAGGAACAGCTCTGACCTCGTGACAGTTACTTTCTGATCTGACAAAAGATCAGAAGATCTGACAGTTCTGTTTCTGATACTGACATTGTGTTTATATTATTATTCATTGTTGACGCACTGACGTCCAAAGTTTTCCAGAATTTTCATAAGCAAAAATTATTTGTGAAATCTTGGTATCAACTTGGTATCAATTGGAGTATTTCCTTGCAAAATGTCTTTAAATACGGCACATCTTAATGGTGGTGTGCTTATACACAATGGAGAACAGTGAGTGAAATCACAATTAATCACTCCTTATATGGCTTTAAATATCATTCATCTATTTTTGTTTTATATAGAATATTGTTGTTTTCGGAGAATGTGAGTTTAGAATGGTCCGGACAAGCAGTGAGTGTCTTTCAAAGCACTAAGAAGGGAAGCATTTACTTGACCACTCATCGAGTTATCTTCAATAGCAAATCCACAACAGATGAAATGCAAAGTTTCAGTTTCCCCTTCATTACTCTGAGTGAAGTATGTCACATTATGAAATATTTGTGCACATTTAATTATTATATAATTGAAGGTGGAAATTGAACAACCAGTTTTTGGGGCAAATTACATAAAAGGGAAAGTAAGAGCACAGCCTAATGGCAATTGGGTAGGAGAAGCAAAGTTTAAGATGACATTCAAGCATGGGGGTGCCATCGAATTTGGACAGGCTTTGTTGAAGGCAGCTCATTTAGGTATGTTTTATATCTGAGGTTTCCACTAATATCCTGAAGTATTCCTCCTTCAATCCCCAGTTACAAAGTCATTTTTGCCATAAAGAATCAAAAGATGGTTGTTTTCTGATTTTTGTCCTTTAATTAGTCATAACAACATAAGATCAATTGATTCTTGTGTGATGAATTCATGTACACTCATAAAATACCATGTGAATTCAACCAGTTGAATGAAATTGATCTATTGCCAAACTTCTAATGATATACCATGTCATATTCAAAGTTACTAATTATTTTGTGTATTTCTGCTTTTTCTATATCATCAAATAGGTTTCTATCCTATGATGAAGGACCACACTGAATCTCATGATACAATACAATATAAGACAACATGTGGCGAACCATTGATTGCTTGAAATATTTATTCTCTACAGATCAAACATTCATGATGTGTCCATACATTTCTATACATTTCTATGACACATTGAAGCAAAAATCCATGACCCAAAACATGTTACCCTAAAAATAAAAATTGACATTTATTTTTTTTCATCAAGAAGCTATTTTGGGGGATGACTCAAGATTCAAATTGGGCAAATGGGGCAAATGGCAAATCAGTTATATTAAATCTTATCAAACAATGATTTTGCCTTACCAGTTATTGAATAAAAATGTTGATGGTGAATGAATTGATGAATATTGCCATAAATTGTTGTCAATAATCTATTTTCTTCCTAAACCAGTAACCCTTGGATTAAAACAAACAAAATGTTTATATCCTTTTGTTTGTTTGTAGTGGGTAGGGACCTTGTTTGTGAAAGATAGCTACACTTTGTGTGCTATGGAATTTTAACAAAGTTTTCCAGAATTAGACAACAAATAAGAATTCAAGTACTTTATTCTACTTGCAAGTGGCCCTTGTGAAAATATCAATCAACTTAAAAGTCATTCATTTTTATTAAAAGCTTTTATTTAAATTGCATTGTATGTTTGTATGATGTATGGATGTATGTTTGTATGTTCGGGTGGAATCTTTGAACTCAATTTTGAAGTAGAAATCTTCAACCGATTGAGCTGAAATTTTGTATACACGTTCAGTTTGGATGACAATGCACGATAAGGTGTATCACGTTATTCTAAATCCAATATGGCGGACTATCCAAGATGGCGGAATAGCTAATTTGATATAGTTTTACAATATGGGTATCAAATGAGAGGGCTCGTTGAGAGTAATTCGAAAAATAATGTGACTTTATTCTAAATCCAATATGGCTTTATTCTAAATCCAATATAGCGGACCATCCAAGATGGCGGAATAGCTATTTATAATATACTTCTACAATATGGGTATCAAATGAAAAGGCTCGTTGAGAGTAACTCAAAAATGATGTGACGGTATTCTAAATCGAATATGGCGGACCATCCAAGATGGCGGAATGGTCATTTTTAATCTATTTCTACAATATGGGTATCAAATGAAAGGGCTCGTTGAGAGTAATTCAAAAAATAATGTGACGTTATTCTAAATCCAATATGGCGGACCATCCAAGATGGCGGAATAGCTATTTATAATATACTTCTACAATATGGGTATCAAATGAAAAGGCTCGTTGAGAGTAACTCGAAAAATGATGTGACGTTATTCTAAATCCAATATGGCGGACCATCCAAGATGGCGGAATAGCTATTTTTGATATACTTTTACAATATGATTATCAAATGAAAAGGCTCGTTGAGAGTAACTCGAAAAATGATGTGACGTCATTCTAAATCGAATATGGCGGGCCATCCAAGATGGCGGAACGGTCATTTTTAATCTACTTCTACAATATGGGTATCAAATGAAAGGGCTCGTTGAGAGTAATTCGAAAAATGATGTGACGTTATTCTAAATCCAATATGGCGGACCATCCAAGATGGCGGAATAGCTATTTTATACTTCTAAAATGTGGGTATCAAATGAAAAGGCTCGTTGAGAGAAACTCAAAAAATGATGTGACGTCATTCTAAATCCATTATGGCGGACCATCCAAGATGGCCGAATGGTCATTTTCAATATACTTCTACAATATGGGTATCAAATGAAAAGTCTCGTTGAGAGTAAATCGAAAAATCTAGCTAGGGATACCTAACTAAAAATCAAAAAATAAATTAAAAGTAAAAAAAAAAAAACTTTTTAATAAAAAGCTGCTATTTAAACGCTCTAAAAAGAAGAAAATAAAGTTTTTCTTAATAATTTTAACTATCAACTTATAACCTCATTATACACAATTTATATGATCATAAAAGCTTGTCGCGATGACCAATATTTTTAATCAAATTGTAATTTTAAGAATTTTATCTGAGGAGATTTTTCATAATTAAATAAGTACCAGTTCATTCACACAGTGATTGACCATTATTGGTGCATTGAGAAGATGTCCCAAACTTGATATTAAAATTGCAAACATGATTCTCTATTCTCGTATACTGAGTCGTATCAACTATTTAATAAATGCTTGGGGATCTTGTTCAATAAATAATGTGAATAAAATATCAACATTATATAGAAAATCGTTAAAAGTATTGTATCGTCTCCCATTTGATACACCAACCAATCAAATGTATGAAATAACAAATACGTATTCTTTAGATGAAATATATAGAATTGAAACTCTTGAAATATCATATAACATCATAAATATTACTTGTTTCATCTTGACGCCGCCAGCTCCATATTCGGACAAAAAAGATTCACCCATTCAGCCCTAACTGAATTCAATAAACTACCTGGCAATATAAAACATTGCAGAGATATAGGTACATTCAAAAATGAAGTAAAATAACTGATTATTTTTGAGCGAACTGCATACCATTAAGGCGGGCCTTTCGCGACAGCTTTCCGACCGAATATAGCCTATATATATATACTAGTTCAACAACTATTTCCAGGTGTCAGTGTGATGTCGAAATCGGAATAAAATAATTAAATTACAGCTTTCACAGCTATTGTAGAGTTCTTCGATTTCGTCTGTTACAGCAGGTCACCAATAGGTGGCACACAATTGAATGCAATCGTAGGTAATTGTATTATGTACGTGCAGTGTTGCCAGAGCTACTGCTCCACGGGCCTGCTGAACATGACTCCACTTTTCACTCCATTCAAGTCAAGCAAATTCTCGCTACCCGCTACAATGAAAATTTATGTCATGAGTGATTTTTGAAACTGTCTTCACAAGTAGTCTTTCGAATATTTCTTTTCCTTTTTAATTTCATTCCCTACTAATATAACTTATCATTATTGGCGTCACCAGAAAAACTTCCAAGGATGGGGATCGAAATCATTGTTCAGGGCAAAATAGTCTGTGTAATTCAGGAATAATGTGTGCAAGATTTTTTATCAAGTTCAGATGGCTATAAATAGAAATTTCGTGTTTTCTGTATAGGGTATATACGTATAGACGATTGCCTAGTTTCAAATATCTTCATTTTTACGAATTCACACTGCTATTACTGATATAAGGGTTATATTGATATATACAGTGTGTAGAATGAAAGAAATCCTTGATTCAAATTTCATGTTCTCTAATTCAGACCTGCTTGCTGAAATACAAATTTCGATCATAATTGCACTTATGAAAAAACCAATTTTTTCGAAGTGAGAACTTCTAGGCGCGTTGAGCACTTTTTTGGGTGGAGAAAAACATTGGATTTCGCGTCATCGTCACGACCCGTCCCGTGTCCCGTTATCGCGAGGTCAATGAATAGCAATAAATTTGAAGGGTGCAGTATTCTATTCTAAATTGGTATATGGAAGTTTTCGGGGTCGGAGATTATGATTCTTTCGTGAAAATTAGGATATTGAAGATGGCTGACGAGTTTTATAATAATTATGATCCCATTCTATTCAAAATTGGTGTCTGGGGGTTCTCGGCGTCGGAGATTATGATTCTTTCATCATGGCTCCACCACCCCATGGCGCACGAGTTTCGTAATTATGATTCTATGCCATTTGAAATTTGTATCTGGGGTTTTTTGGGGTCGGAGATTATGAATCCCGAAATGAACAATTCAAGATGACGGATTCAATATGGCGGACGAGTTATGTGATGATGATTCTATCCTATTCAAAATTTATATATAGGGGTGTTTGGGGTCGGAGATTATGATTCTACCGTCAGAATTGGGAAATTCAGGATTGCAGATCCAATATAGCGGACAAGTTTTCTAATTTTATTATCCGATTCTATTAAACATTTTTACTGGTGTTTCAGGGATCGGAGATTTTGAATCATTTGTCAAAATTAGGAGATTCAAGCGAACACCATCTCAAAAGTTTTTGTTAGTCTATCTTAGACAGCGAATAATGTTTTTAGGTACCTAATAAAGTTTGTCGAGTTGATAAAAATTCTGTTTGATAGTGATAAAACAGTGTATAGTGTGAGTGTGATTATATCGTACCAAAGTTTCCAGGATCCCTGATGGTTTCGGTCTTCAACATAACCGTGAGAAATTGATTTGCCATCATATGCTTTCTATATCTCACAATCCATTTTGTTTTAATGGTCAACTTTTTTTAAATCATTTGAAAATCGAATTATAATGAAAAAAATATAAGAAAATTATGTTCATGCTGATATAAAACTCACAAAGTTATTGTATGAGGAATTTTAAAATGAAATATTTTTCTTGAACAACCTCTGTTTCTCCAAAACTAACAACATTTTCTATGAGAGATGTGAGGCTGCATCTTGATATTCTGATGTTTACTATTTCTAGCTCACACATTGACCATTTTCATGCTGATTTAAAACTTACAAAGTTATTGTATAAGGAATTTCAAAATAAAATATTTTCCTTGTACACCCTGTTTCTCCAAAACTAACAGCATTTTCTATGTGAGATGTGAGATGTGAGGCTGAATCTTCATATTCTTATGTTCTTATTTCTAGCTCACACATTGACCATTTTGAATGAATAACCCTGTATATATTTCAAAGAAAATTTTAATATCACGGAATTCATTGAATTTCAAAAATCTT